TTGTACATCTAAATCCATGAAACCTGTTACTTGCTTACTCATAAATAATAATCAAAATAAACTATTAATTCATCCTCTCCATCTTTATTTAACAATTCTTATGATGGTGTTTTAGCAACAAGCACAGTAAAACTGCTCAAAGGCTCAATTTTACAGGCTTTTATTGAAATGGTGCTGGTTATTGTCAGCAAAGTGCCTGTATTTCTTTCATTTATTTTTCTTCATGGCTGCAACCCTTAAGCGCTTCAGTGAATGGAGATGAGCATAATTTAACGTGTAAGATGAAAGATGATAAGATTACAGTAGATTCAGAAGCATCTTGCTTAAAGGATGCATTGTGTGTCACTGTTTGCGCAGATTTACTTTGCTCAGATGCAAATGCTTCCAACTCATAGGCTTGTACTTGGCAAGAAGCTGTCACTTTGAAATTGCTGTATTTGCTTGTGCGGCTAAATTTGGCATCAAAAGTGCGCGCGTGTGTGTGTGCATGTGTGTGTGTGTGTCTGTGTGTGTGTGTGCATGCGCTGGGGGGAGAGTGTTTGTATGTGTTTTGCAAAGAAGCCAAAGTGATGCCATTTTCTGCCTGTCATCAAGCAGGGACTTTGTCGACAATTTAGCGCTCAATCTCTGCTATCTGCTGCTCTCAATTTTATCATTAAGTCTCTTTTCCTCTGGGGAGGGTGAAAAATGCCTTATCATCCAAAGTGCATTTCACATTTAGGCAATTTGCCTTGTTTTTGTATTATTGTGCTGCTGGAGTGAATGCGCTTTCTGCCGAAAAAGAACGGCTCCAGTGAATCACAGTCGATTGTGTCAGTGTAATGAGTCCAAAAAACCGGACTGTTGCTTGCTTTGTTGGACATGTCTGTAAAAAAAGGGGGCAGGTGGGTTTTGTTGTCTGGAACTTGGATTGAGAGCAGAGATAATACCCAAAATCTGCAGCTCTTTAATTAGAGAGCTGAATGTCAATGCGCTGAACAAGATTACAGACTCCTTTTTTTTTCGCTCTAAGTGCTTTGCCATTATGACACAGAAGTAATCCTCACTGTGCAGCTACTCAAATTCCAATCTGCATAAATACACATTACTGTCATGAGCATTTCATGTGTCTGTCATTTACAGCCCGTCTGGTATTTTGTTTGTTTTGAGCGTCCGACAAAGGTCACTCCTTCTACTCGCCACACATCCTTAACCACAGGAAACTCTACTCGCTCTCACCTGTGCATCTCCAGTATTGATTTGTAAATAAGACTGTAAAAATCTCTTTGGCAGGTGGCAAAGGTAACATATTCTCTGTACATGTGGCTATATTAATGAGGTGGGGGTGTTACCATTTTCAAAATGCCACCGTCAACCGCGGCAACAGTAAATCAATTTCCAAACCCAAAGGTCAGCAATGTAGAGAGAGAAGGGAGAAGGAGAGGAAGGCCAAGGGGGCCATTTGTTATTCCTCATTAGAATGGATCAGTCCTCTTCTGCCTCTCTCTCTCCCCGTTTCAGCATCTCTCTCGAGCTCTCTCGCTCTCTTTTCTTACACTCTCTTTCAAGCTTTTTCCTCCCACTTTTCCCTCTCTGCCTCATTTTGGGCCCCCTCCAAGGGAATTAAATGGCGCGGAGGAGGGCTGTCACTTCAAAATGTCACCCCGGCGAAACAAGGACCCACTCATGCTTGTATTTTTCCACTACACCACCAGCTCCCCCCCTTTCTTTCACTTACATACGTGAGAGCCTGTTTTTCTTACCTTCGACCTCCAAAGTCCGCCACCTGCCCGAGCTACTGCCACCACGGCCCGCGTTCAGTCCAGCCACCGCCAACATGCTACGGACATAATAACAGCAGAGCATCCATGTTGTGGCTTTCTTTTTTATTTTAACGGCTCAACTTCACACGTATCAGAGAGGAATCAAACGTAATTAAAGATGGTGATAAAGCAGACGAACGCCACCATTTGTCTCCAGTTGTAAAGAGACTGTGATGGAGCCTCTGCTGAGTCTCTGAGGGCGTTTTTTTTTTTTTTTATACCAGGGCAGCGGGTACAGAATAGTGTAGTGTGGCACCAACCCGTGCACTTACACAGCCCTCGTTCATCTCTTTCAACCCCCTGGGCCCTTGCACTGTGTAACCTAAAAAGGATCATCTATCATCTATTCAAAGTCACTGTGGCTCCTCGCTCTCTTTCTCTTTTTTTTCCCTTGAACACACATATGAGCACCCAGTCAAAGCCAAAAACCCAGGGACTTGTTGTGTTCCACTTGGAAACTGCTGAATCCATCCACACCCAGGACCCCCTCTGGCAGCGGCTTTAGCGCCAGGTCAGCCATGTGTCCATCTTGTGACTGTGCCTCAGAAGGAACTCTATTTGAAGATCCTCAGCAGTGTCACTGACTGATGTTAAGGGACAGTCCTTGTCTTTTCAAGTGGCAGTGCTGTAATGATTCCAGACGACAGACAGACTGGCGGCAGGACCCTCTGGACTACTTTGTCAGTGACATTAAAAGGTCCAGCTACACTCAATGGAAGGATCAAGGGCAAGAACAATGAGTGCTGCCACACTTAAATTGACATAACTATAAAAAGGGAGCACAAAGCTGTGCCAAACCTTGTAAAGGTCAAAAAGGAGTGGGAGAGGAAGAGAGAAACTTTTTTCAGGTGTTGTTGTTACAATCTGTGCAGATTTTTTTTTTTTTCAAATTCCATAGATTTATTCACATTCAGAGTATTTTTTTTTTTTCTCTCCATGATACTCGGAGTACAAAACAGCCTGCACGCTGCAGCTTATTCCTGACTATTTCCACAGAGATTCGATTGCAACCATCATTTGATAATGTCTCAGTGCTATGTTAAGCAGAGGGGGGTTAGATCTAGTCGCTGTGGGCCTATTAAGACCAGAGAAAATTAACAGTGTTTCAATTATCAACCCCCCCAAGGAGAGAAAAAGTGTGGCTAAAGCTTGAATTAAATCAGGCCATTCATCAGAATGAACACACTTGGCGTCGTAGTACTTAAAATATCCATAAATAGACCTAATTACGCACTGCAAAGCAGTTATAGTCCAGCATTCTCATATTTTCATGTAGTATGTAGACTGTTAAAAAAGCTCTTGGATGAAGTCGCTGATAAACATGAGGAAAGAAAACACCAGCAGTTAAAAACAAAGCATCATCCACAGAGTATGAGGTCAACAAAAACTGAAAGTTAGTCTAAATTAAGATAAATGCACCAAATTCTGCCCCAAACACAACATATTAAAAGCACAGTCGAGTTAAAAGCAAGCTCAGTTAATACCTGAGAGGCAATAGAATATTTATAGCACAGTGACCTCTTTTTATCACTGAATCTAATCCATTCATGAATCATAGATAACAACAGGACAATGGGAGAAACATGTAATAAAACACACACTCTAAGGACATCCTAGTGCGCTAAGAAAAGAAACACAAAGTCTTAGTCATGTGGCCAGCACGTTTGTTTGGTAGTTTTGTTGTTGTTGTTTTTTACAGCAGGGAAGCTATATATATATATATATATATATATATATATATATATATATATATATATATGTATCTGCATAATGTGAACAAGTCGTAGGGATTAATGTCAGATTAGTGAAAGGATCATCGTCCATTGAGCTCCACTGTCGAACAGTATCACACAGATCAGAAAGCCTCAAGTGAATAAGTAACCTTGTGGCAGGCTGCTCGGTTGTGTCACTCCAAGGTCTTGCCTAACAGAGGCCAATCAGCTTATCTCGTAGCTCCACTAATCAATATTTCTTTGTATTAACAATGGATCAGTAGACTACATGTTGGAGTATTGATGAAACCACAGTGTGCTGCTGCATTGCCCCCACAACTGCAGACATACACGGATAGAAACAACTGTGAAAGACTGTGAATGCTGGACGGGCGCGGGATGGCCGTTCACTGCATGTACAGGAGGGCTGAGCAATTAATTGATTTCAAATTGAAATTTGAAAAGAACGCAATTAGCAAATCGCAGAGGCTGCAATTTCGGCCGTGCGAGGTGCAGCTATTAAATAATGAGACTAATGCTGCAATTTGGTTTATTTAATTTGAACAGATTGCAACTTTCAGGGGTTGTTTATGCTCGTGCATTGATCAGTGGAGACTGTGGGGCTCAGGCGTACGAGCTGTGGTTCGACTGATATCAGCCCAGTTTCATGATTCAACAGCCACGCCTCACACAGTTTGCATGATCCAGGGTTGAAACCGTCGTGGCTTTATAAATTCGTATCGCCCTCCCTTCTTGTGTAACTTTCGTGCTTTTAATGGTCTCTCATGTGAAAATACACATTCACATGTTTTATATATATTATAATATTGAACTGATTTTTTAAAAATGATATGGCAAATTGAATATGTGTCAGAAAACTGCAGTGAGATACTCAAATCATTCAGCTCAGATGTACACATAGGAGGTTGTTTGCTAACACGCCAGAAATGACTAGTTTATATGGCAATAATTTTAATTTTATGCAAGTTTTTTTTTTCTTTTTTGGAGCCATTTTTTATTGCAGCAGTGGAGAGAGCAGGGAAGCGTAGAGGAGTGATACGCAGCAAATGGTCCCCAGCCAGGGATCAAACCGGGGGCTTGTTGCTCAGGGCGTTGGGACTGGTGTGGAATGTGGCTTAGCTACACATCCCCTGACAATAATACGATTTTTTAACAGTACTTTCATCACATATTGATTAACCAAGGCCCAAAGTACTCACACACCAGAGGTGGCCCCGATTTTATGTAAACCTTAGACCGTGCAGGGCCGTAGTTTAACACCTGAGGCAACCATTTAAGCACGTTCGGATTCTCTAAACCCGTTTAGTGTTTGTTGTCATGTCACTGCAGCAGCATCCTTTTAGTGCCATTTGATGTTAAGCGGCTGCATCTGTGTGTGTGTGTGTGTGTCTTTAGCAGGACAGAGTTCAGCTGAACAATGGAGTGTTAACGATCAGCAGTTTGAATCTGGCTGACATCGGCATGTACCAGTGTGTGGCAGAGAACAAGCACGGTCGGATCTTCACCAACGCTGAGCTGCGAGTTGTAGGTAAGACGGAGTTGATTTCACGAAATACACCCAGAGGTACAGTCAAGGCCATTTTTCCAAGTCCCACATTAATATTGACAGAACACTCGGAAAGCATATCTACAAAATTGCCAACTGGATCACCCAAAAGCATTTAACAAGATCGCATCACTAGTTTTATTTGTTCATTATTTGTGTAAAGATTCTATTTTTATTAAACAATATTTTGCTAAATAGGTTGCACATAGTACATCAGAGAGCCCTCTGCTCTTTGCTGAGAAGTCAAATGTGTCTACATTTCAAAATAAAAGTATCCAGAAGTGGACCCTAGTGTTGCTCACATCATCACATGACTGCATCTGATGCTTGTCCTTCAGCTGGGAACGTTCACGTGACTGGTTTTATTGGAGAAGATCAACTGTGAACACAAAACAATACAGGAGATTAGGCCGTATGCTGCCATATTAGTTACATGTGATATTATTTAAATAAAGAAAATGATCCAGTGAGCTTGCCAACAGTACAAATGTATTCAGTATTAACATGAAATTTGATCTTTTCTTGTGTATTTACTCTTTGTTTTTCTGCAAAAATCATTAAATTTAACCTGTCTGTTACTGAATTACTGCTAACTATCAATTAGTAGCTGTGTGATTGCATTTAGTTTTAATTTATTTTCACTAAAACTTGTCATCACACTACTTTTTTTCCATAAAAGCTCCGATGAAGTTCCTTTTTAACAAATGTCCGTGCCGTTTGTGATAGAAATTATTTTGAGTTCATGATCAGTAACTGCAGAAGCACTGTGAGTATTGATGGTGAGCTTCATGTTAAAGTTTATATAACTGACACTTTAAGGTGAACTCAGCATGCAGCCATGAGAGTTACAGTAACAGACAGTTTAATAAGGACTTTCAGGCTTTGGAAATCAAACTGCACACAGGTGGTTAGACAGTAACAGGTAACATGAAAAGCTAATATGCTTTATGTGTCTGGGCAAGACGAGTTGTGAACTCACTCTATATGTTGCGGAGTTCATTTAGCCTTTAGTTCCTTTCATATCTGATTTACTGCTTTAGAAATGAAGTGCAGACGTTTTCTTTTCAAACTGCACTTGAGGTATTTTATATAATCGGGGAATGGCAGAAAGAAAAAAAAAATGTTTTATATCCTCGTATAAGTACTCAAAGCACTTTGCTGTGGCAGTTTGACACAACTTCATTAGCAAAAACAAAGTTTCATTCGTCTGTCAAAGCCACTTCGCTTGATGACGGAGCGGCTTTCAAATGCTTTGTGTTTAGAAACATATATAACTCTGACTGGCAGCCTGAATTAAAGTAACCGCAGAGAACCAGGGAGGGTTTAAATTACTTCGCTGTAGGTGTATAGCTCTAAAAACCATCTATTGTTGTACTGGTGAACGGTTTGTGACTATTTGGCTGCTGCTGCACTATTTGTCCCGGTTTGTACATGTCCTTATAATGGCGTCCTCGTCTTCATTAGCAGAAGTCTGATTTGTCTGATATTCTACCTTCAAATGACTGAGAATCTTAATAACCTGAACAGAATACGAACATTTAAATGCTGGAGTTAGAGCAGGAAAAGAAAATATCTGCTCAACTTAATTAACCAAAGGTCAAAAATCTGTGACCCCTGTGCTTACAGAGCAGCAACTAACCAGTATTTTTGGATGAATATATCAAACTATTATTCATATGATTAATAAATGAATAGTTTTATCTGTAGCAAGTTCGAAAATTGTAAAAAAAAAAAATATATTGCCCTTCGCACTATTGCAGAGCTCAAATTGCAATAACATTCAGCCTGCAGCTCTTCACATTTAAGAACCCAGAAAAAGGTTGGATTTTTTTTTTTTTTTTATCTACAGCCAGTTAATCAACTCATCCATTGATCATCAGCTTATAAAAAATGCTATTTGATGAATGAAATTTAACAATGTGGATTTTTTTTACTATTCAAGTAATAATTGCCAGGATATTTTAAATGTTGTCCTGCTGTAGGCCACCATGATCACAGTCTATTCGTCATACAGGTTCCTCAAGAAAACAACCTGATAGGCATTTCTCATTTATTTGTTCTGTTTAAATGTTGCTGCTGCATTCCTTCAAAAGACACAAGAACAAAGCTATTTTATTTAAATGCACACATCTGAGTTCATATGAATTCTGCTCGTGCTTGAAGGCGAGACGAGTAAGACAAATACCTGTTGTGCTGTCGGAGATAAAGCTGGCATTTCACACACAGTGTCAAGACGTAATTATGAGCGGCGACGCTCGCGCGGCTACACGCGCGCCGTCCTGTGCATTGTTGTGTACGCGCCGGCATACGTTGGCAGGTGCTCGGCCGTGTCACTGGCGCCAGGCTGTGCATTCACTTTGAAGAGCTTTCTGCTGAGTCGGTGCGCATACAAAGCAGCTCCAGACGACGGCGCCTTAGTAATTAAGGCCTAAAGGAGCAGCAACAAAGCCTCCCTCTCGTTTTACATTTTTGCTCCAGAGGCCCCGTGGCTTTATTCTTAATGCACAGTGTCCTTCGAGGGAAAAAATTCACGGAATTGGGAAAACCACCTCCCTCTTCAAATAAAATATCTTCTTTAAAATGTTGCACCGTGTCTGCATTTGTAGGTGCATTAGAGTCTGTCTCTGCATGTGTGCAAACAAGCGCATATGTGAAAGGAAAGGATGTGAGAGCTGACCTGCCTAATGGATGGAGTGACCTGAGCGTTTTAAGGAAGCTCCTCCACTCTCCTCCGCCACAAACTCTGTCTGTTTTTCTCTGTCAGTAAATCAAAATCTCTTTTCTATTCTCTTCCTCTCCCGTCTCCCTCCTGACATTGGCAACCCTTTTTCTCTCCGCTCTCCCCCATCAGCCATTGCTCCAGACTTCTCCCAGAACTTGCTGAAGCCCCAAACTTTGGCCCGACAGGGTGGCGACGTTCTAATCGAATGCAAGCCCAGGATGTCTCCTCGGGGCGTGATTTCATGGAGGAAGGGGAAGGAAGCCCTGAGAGAGAGCCACAGGTAGCAGGCTTCTTTGTGTTGAGCTGTAAATGCATTGTGTGTGAGACCACGTTTTTGTTTGTTTGGGTTTTTTTTTTTTTAGTTTGTGTGGCTTACTTGCAGAATAGTATTTCACTGACTTGTTATTTTATTTTTCCCTACTTGATATTCATGGTGACAAACTGCACAGAGCAGAATCACAGTGTGACACAATACAATTTGAATTGCATAACACGTTCTGCACTCCACCACTTTCCCCACCTTTTTTTTTTTTTTTTTAGCTATCTACATTTCTTCCCTGAACTCCATTGTGCTTTGCTTTCTTCTGGCTGTGCTAAGAGCTGGTTTCTGCACTGTTTACTTAAGGTAATTGGGCGTTCCTAGACTGCGGCAGCTGGATCGATGCGCTGATCCATCAGCTCATTAGCAACATGTAAGGCCTGGAGGGTCATTAGAGCACAAGTCAGACGATGATCCAGACTACCATTGAGACATGGGAGAAGCAGATGAAATCCCCAAACGGACTGATCAATGGATGGCTGCTGAACATACATTCTTTCTCGATAGTGGCGGTAACACCGGGGGAACCATAGAGACACCTTGTTTTATTAGAAATCGGGTTAAGTACAGATCAATGCAATACCTCTGTGCGCTGGAGAGGAGATGGAAAAAGGAAAAACAAATGTTAATGAGACAAGGAAAAAACTATTCTTCCCCCTGAAGACATAATGCTGGTCAAGGTAGCAGCAGGATGTATCGCCAGCGACCGAGCAGCAGCTCTGCTGTTTGTTCTCACATTGCAGCAAACGGGGGAATGTGCAAATGTGGTGCAAAGCAGCACAAGGCCTTCATATGATTGACCGTTTTTGTATCTGAAATGAAGGAGTCTCTTCAACCTGCATGAATAGGCAGTGACAGAAAATATATCTTCAGAAGTGTGTCATTTGGTGATATTTGCTCTGTTTTCACAAGTTGTTCTGGCTCTTTTTTAGGGAACTGTTAGTTTTCAACATTGCAGCAAACAGGAAAATGTGCAAATATGGTGCAAATGTGGTGCAAAGCAGCACAAGGCCTTCATATGACTGACCATGTGTGACCCATCTGCATGAAATCAGTGGCATTGTGCCTCGGGCTATATCTGAGATACAGCCCGAACTACATTAACACATGATAGAATATTGATTTTGGGTTCATTACTTAGATTGATCCATTTAGATGTTTCCCACATGTAGCTAGCATATAATATCACTGTCAGATACCATCAGCGTGCATGAGCGGTAACACCAGAAAGAAGCAGCAGAAATCACTTGTGCGCAGGCGCCGCGAGCAATGTGTCATTGCCAGCCAATCCCGTCCCGTGATTTGCATCATGTGGTAGCAACATGCTGCTTTTGTTTACGCATAACAGCCTAAGGTGACTGATTTCGTGCAGATGGGTCACATTTGTGGATTTACAGTTTAAAAATGTGTTGAAATACCCCATCGCCTGCATGACTAGGCAATGACAGAACATATAAATGTCTCCAGAAATGTTCTCATTTGGCGATATTTGTTTAGATTTCACAGTTTTCACAAGCTGGTTTGTCCTTTTTTCGGGGGGGAACTTCACTTTTAGCATTGCAGCAAACATGGAAATGTGCAAATATGGTGCAAAGCAGTGCAAGTCCTTCATATGATTGACCATTTTTGGAATTAAAATTGAAAAATGTGCTCAAGTGCCCCATCACATGCATAAATAGGCAGTAAAAGAGAATACAAACTTCTTCAGAAATGTCGTCATTTTCTGATATTTGCTCTCTTTTAGCAGTTTTCAGAAGTTGTTCTGCTTCTTTTTTTAGGAAACTTTTAATTTTCAACACTGCAACCAACAGGGAACTGTGCAAATCTGGTAAAATGTGGTGCAAAGCAGTGCAAGGCCTTTACATGGCTGACCATTCTTGGATTTAAAATTTAAAAACGTGTTCCAGTATCCCATCGCCTGCATGAATAGGCAGCGACAGAAAATATAAACGTCTTCAGAAATGTCCTCATTGTCTCATGTTTCCTCTCTTTTAGCAGGCTTCACAAGTTGTTCTGCTTCTTTTTTTTTGGAAACGGGGGAGGAACTGTTAATTTTCAGGTGTGCTATCATAATCTGCAGTTGCGTAATGCACAGTGGCGTCTACACAAATCACTCATCTGTATTTTGAGCAGGAACGTTACCAGCAGGAGGCAAAGCACACCTGCCGCTACATGCAGTGATGTAGTAGGGGTTCACATTTCTCATTTGATATGGGATTAATTGTTCAACTGGCTCAGCAGCTTTTTTCACATCTAAACCTCTGGGATATCCATCCTCATCACAGCCGGGGGAGCCGCGGGGTTAAGTCACCTTCCCCCCCGCCAGAAGGCATGTTGGGGGGGGGGAAACTAAAGGTGCGATGTGATTGCTAATGCCAGCGCCGGGACATCTCGGTCGCAGGAGGGCGATGTTTTATTGGAGCAACAGAATCAGCACCGAGATTATGTGGTGCAGACGCCTGCTAAATGTTGGGCCCAGCTTGCAGATTTATCATCCTCTTAAGTATTGAAAGGAAAAATGCATCCGTACCGCAATGTGCAATATCAATCGTGCCTATAAAGGCGAGATTTCCCATTCGAGACTTAACATTACAGCCTCGCCCTGAAGTGGCTGAGCAGCATACAAGATGTTAGGTTTTGACATTATTGCAACATCTCTCGCAAGCCTGTTCCCCCCTTCCTCCTGGCTCGTTAGCATTTACTTTCCGTCCATATCGAAATGGGGCTGTTACCAATGCTATTACAGCGGTGGCACAACACTAATCCATCCCACTGGCTCAACCAAAGTACCCATAATTCCTTCTAATCTTCCAAGGATAATGTTTTCAAGGATCTTGCAGTAGGAGAAAACAAATCAACTCAAGAACAAGGCAGGATCTGATTAGTTAATGAAATCATGCAGGGGGGGACGATACCTACACCAGCTCATATCCCAGGCATGTATAACAAGATGGCCTTGGAACAGGGTTGCCGTGCACTTACGCGGGCAACTATGAGGTTAACGATAAAGTGCTTACCCTAATTTAATTTCATCGCTGACCGCTGCCAGCAATTGCAAAACGGATAGAGGAAGTAGCTCTCAGAAATATTACCTTTAGATTGAACCGCTGTGGTTAGGAATGCCACGCTAAACGATACGCTTTATTGTGCAAAAACAAATCCGTTTACAATCAGAAAGAGCTTTAAAGGTGTGATCCCAAAACCAGCCAGTGAATGAAACAAGCAGTACTTGAGAATACTGCGAGTTCCTGGTAGTACACCGACTTAATTATGCAATCATTCTTAAGTGGCTAAAATAATGTTTTTCATTTACAGCCTCTTGGTTTTTGTTACGCCTCGGAGAGAACGGAGCGGGCTTTTTAGATTACAGCCGGTAGCTTGCTTTAACACCAGCCAGCGAGGTTCAGGGTAAAGTGCCTGTTTACTGCATCACACTTATCAAGCTTTTATGTACGCCACAAATTTCACCAAAACCTTAATTGCTCCGGGGCGACCTTTAAGAAGGAGAGGGAACAAAGAGAAAACGTTTCAGACGGATAATGCTCCTCACATCTTTATCTTGCGCCGTTCCTTTGTAGCTCTCGCCGAGGAGGAAGCCCTGACATAGGCTACTGCACAGTTTAATGGCGAGTCTTATCCCTGTGACATCTCATATCCATAACTCTTTGTTATAGCCCATTACAAAGGAAGCCCTCAGTTCAGTTAGGAGAATATACCCCTGGCTCTGTGGGGGGAATGGGCACCGGAGAAAGGGGGCTAATGCATTTTAATTCTCCCTGCCTTTAAAGCGTTACAGGTCATTTTTGATCATTTTAGGAGGTCCACGCTGCCTTGGAGGGATCTTTTAGAAAGTGGTGTTCAAGTTCTTCTTTCAAACCAGTTATGTTTGAAACACCGGCTCTGCCCCATTACGATACGCAGTTTAGAAGGTGTGATGGGAGCTTCTGGTGAGGATTTGCAGGCGTTTATCGACAGGGTAATTAATTTCAAACGGTACAAATGGGGTCAGGGGATTGCTGAAAGGCATCATCAGAAATTGTTGGAATATAATATGATCAAATTGTCATGACCTTTCTGACTGAAGAAATTAACTGTAGAGACATTTTCCACTGTAGCTCGCCTTTGTAAAAGAGACGGAACTGCAGCATTTTCTGCTTTGTAACCATCAAAAATGTCGATAACACATTTCTCCTGCCAGCCCTGAATATTTATTCCGTCTCGGAGTTTCTTCTTTCTTTGACAAAATACTCCTCGGTTTCGGAACACGTAGCAAATAATCGTGAATATGCTCCTTTTGTCGGTTAAAGCGTGGCATCAGAATCTGAGTGTAACAACCGCTTCGTGTCGTGAAATATTAATTGCTGCTCATGAGGCCTAATGGATTTTGTGTGTTTGTAATGACTCTGATAACGCCAGGCCAAGTTAATTATTAGTTTAACAAGCGGTGGCTGTCTTCTCAGCACAAGGGAATTCATTTTTAACCATGTGATTTTTTATTTTTTATTTTTTTGATTTTCGTATTGATCTCTGTGGGGATTTTTTGGTGGCGGCAGCGTTGCTTAAGGACATCTCAGCGGGGCAGATTATTGGCTCCAGTATAACAATGCAGCCTGTGCTCTGTTATTTTTTTTTATTCTCTATAGGAAGTAGAACACATATGCAGCGAGGGGGAACGACCTTTAATTGGCTTGTTGTTCTGTTATGTGTTGGGAGGCCGTTATGTGCTAAAAAAAAAAATAGAGAGAGATTTTTTTATTCAAAAAGGGCTGCTTTGTGTTGTCTGATAACTGTCAAGTTTTGCAGACTGAGGTTGAATCAACACCACAAAAACTTAAAGGATGTAATGTTGTGTCATCTGATTGCATTTGGACCCTTTCAATTACAGCCCATTCAAGCCAAATTAAAGCAGAGCTATAACGAGTAAAATGAACAATTACAGCTTGATACTTAGATGTCTTTATGCTAACATTTAACATGTATTTGTTTTAGATTATTGACTTTGAATCAGGCGAAAGCAGCAAGAAAGTAAAGTCTTCTGTCAGCTTGGCGTTTGAGGGATGTGATGGATTACCTCCAGTAATTGCAGAGATTAAGGGATGTGTTTTCAAAACCGGCACGAAGGCCCGGATAACAGAAAAGACAGAAAGGATCAAATTTGAACCGTAGGTATCGAATCTGAATAGTTTTGACAAATTCAACTACCGGTGATGAAACATGGAAATGAATGGTTCTTTGGCACAATCCGCGTGCTGAATAAACCCTGTTAGCTTTTAACCTGAGCATTCAGCGCAGCACGTGGCAAGTTTGTCATCGCGGCAAAGGAATGCTTTTTTGGCATCCAGGTGAATGGAATTAATCAAACCGCTTATTTTTTTGTCATTGTGCGCCTCGATCACCTGCAACCCTCGTGATTCATCCCACTTTTTATTAAGTGGTTGTCTCGGGCGTTCTCACCAAACAAGTTGTCTCCTTTTATCCTCCATCCTTGACTGGGATCGCAACACACAAGCTGGCAAGATGAATGTCATTATGCGTATTTACTTACAAGTTATTTGTTCTCTTCTTTTTCTTCACACTCTATTCAAGGCCTTGTTTGACGTTGGAATGCTTTTAAGGACTCTTTCTCCTTTGAAGGTTTTCGGTGCTCCTGGAGTGAGCATCAACATATCTGAGGGTGTTTTTTTTTTCTAACTTGGAACTATTTCAGAAATGGAAGACAAAACAGTTCATGATTCGTAGCCGTGGTTGGTTGGTTTGTTTATAGCTACAAAACAGAAATGATGATGCTGATTATTTTTAGTTGAATAAGAGCAAAGTTAGAAAAGTGAAAACTCCAAAATGAATTGAAGAGTTCATTTGCAAAAACTCCATTTCCGACAGGACACTTGATTTTAACCATTTATTTGGGATCACATACATTTAGTTTGGCGGTGACTCTGCTGGTGATGCTCTGGAACGATCTGCGCAAGCATGACACAGATAATCCCTGAGATCACAAACCCCCGCAGAGCCATGAATTTACAATTTACAACTTTTCGAATACGGTATGAACACGAGAACAGGAGACCAACTAAATAGTCTTCACTTACAGAATCTAGATTACATAGTTCAAGGTACAATAATGAACCATCTGCAACCTACAGTGGGGTTATATGACTGAACTGTTTTTAAAAGGTGGTGGTTGGGGAGGAGGAGGAGATTTGACGATCTGCAGAGGCTGGAGTAGCAGCGATGTGGTGAGCGTGAAGCTGGCAGAATGAATGAACGCTGCCTCAGTTATAAAGCACGCTAAGTGGGTGGGCTGGACTTCAGCGATGACGATTGGATAGGAGGGGTCATGTGACACCCTGACGCCGTGCCTGTCTGAACTAACGCGAAGCTCCATTTTCTTAGATTTTCAGAAAACTTGTTTTGCTGTTGTTTGCTTGAGATAATATCAATCAAACTGAAGTTGAGTGGATTTGACTCGGTAGAAATGACAAAAATAGAGATAACTTAAGATTGATTGGAGATGGAGTTATCTGTTTTTGTCAATGAACTCTTCAATTATAAATGACAACAATGATTCAAAGATGAATGGAGATCTTTCTTATGTGGGTTTGAATCACTTAAATACTGCTCCTTGGTGAGTGGTGTGGCAGCATTCTGTCTCTGCAGGAGGAAATCAGTCTGGTTTTCAGGAGGACTTGCTGGTTCAATCTGTCACTGAAGTTCAACATCCTTTTATTACCAGGCAGATCACATTTGCAAAGAAAAAAGAAAAGAAGCTTTTCTGATATGTTCCTATTTCAAAACATTTTTCCAGGATTTAAACTATTTGCTGCGACGACTTTGAGGCTGCAGCTCTGTTAACCGTTGTTCTGCTGCATCTCCTCCCATCACTATGTGCGTATTTAGGCAGAAGCGTCCTCACCATCACGCATCTAAAAATCTAACTCAGAGTTTCTCCACCTTGATATCAAAACTGATGCTCTCCTCCCATGAAGTGATCTTGCGCTGCTCTTCTCGACTCGGTGGCGACAGATCAAACTGTAACTGTTCACGCCGAGCTCCTACTTATGTCACGCTGAAGACGCTTAAAATTGACTGAGATCAACTCCAGGCTGAAGTAAAAGAAAACGAAAAAATGTTTCATTACACTAAACCTGATATTTTTCTGCAGTCTGAGTGGTTTGAAAGTCGGCTATATGAAGTCTTTTTTATTTCTTGCAGAGTTATGGTGCTGGATAATGGAAGTCTACGGATTTCAAATGTCACTAAATTGGATGCTGGACTCTACACGTGTGTGGCCAGAAACCAGTTTGGAGTAGCGAGCAGTGCTGGCAGCCTTTTGGTTAAAGGTAAGATGTGGTTGTTTTTTGTTTCTTGGCTTGGTCTCAAACATCAGTCTTTATTGGTTTATTGTACTAAATGACAGATAGATATTTCTTCCGTATTACATCCTCATGAGTTGTTACCTTGCAACGACTGTTCTTATTCCAAACGCTCCATGATACAGCGCAGACCGACGAATCAAAGAAAAAAATCTTTATTTGTCTTCCCCCTATCGCTGTGCGTTCACACTCGGCTTGTGAGACCCATCAGATGAGGCGCGGGATACACAGGCTGTGAATTCATACCGTTCGGCCAATCCGATGAAGCTCCAGCCAGCTGACTTTCACACTAATTAGACTCAGTGTGATGGCGACAGAGAGGTGAGCTAGCAGGAAGGCTAAGGAAGTAGAGAAGAGCAGGGGAAATGTCAAGAAATCTGCTGTGAAAATACCCCAAAGAATGCAGGGACAGTTTGTTCCATGGAAGCATTTTCAAAATAAATGATTTGATTTCTTTCTTGGGCTGCAAGGTGGCTCAGTGGTTAGCACCGTCGCCTCGCAGCAAGAAGGTCGCCGGGTCACGTCCCGGTGAGGACACCCGAGATCTTTCTGCGTGGAGTTTGCATGTTCTCCCCGTGCAGCGTGGGTTCTCTCCGCGTTCTCCGGCTTCCTCCCACAAAGTCCAAAAACATGTTGAGGTTAATTGGTGATTCTAAATTGTCCGTAGGTGTGAATGTGAGTGTGCTTGGTTGTCTGTCTCTCAGTGTAGCCCTGTGATAGACTGGTGACCTGTCCAGGGTGTCCCCTGCCTTCACCCTGAGTCAGCTGGGATAGACTCCAGCCCCCCTAGTGAGGATTAAGGTGTATAGATAATGGATGGATGGATTTCTTTCTTTCCTTTTCTTTCTTTTTCCTGTTTATGTTGGTTGTTTGCAGGGACAGCGCACAATTAAAAGTAATTGCACCAGAGTTAGCCAGCAGCTAATTTGCATCCGTTGTCCCTGGGCGAGTACAGAAAAGGAGAATACCCACAAAGCAATAAATAGAGTACGTTAAACAATACAGAGTCCATCAGTATGACACAATAAATAAAATGAGTAAAACAATAAATACAATGTGATCCTTGTTGGTGACAGCTGTGTGATGACTTTAGCCAAACTTTGAGGCTGGTTTAAAACACTATAAAGTTTGTGGGGATGGAATTCGACTTCTTTTTTTTTCACAGTTTTAACAGAGAAAGCAGATTGACCAAAATCTGTCTTTGTGAACTGCAGTACCCAGTCAGCTCTCGTAGATGCTGTGGTCCTGCCTGCACTTACTCAGTTTGCATATTCAATGTTTGGGGTCCTTGTCTGCAGAAAGACATGCTGTATGGCTAATATGCACACTTTAAAATGTGTTTATTTATGGAGAATATATCATTATGATATTTAACTGTGCTATTGCATTGTACTTTTTAAAGAAATACACAAATAATACAGTAATAAACATGTCATAACTGCTTAAGTGAGGAGCAGTCTGACAAATAAGTTGCATACAGTCAGTGTAAGGAAGTACTTTGACCATTTTTTAATGCAAATCGTCCATATTTCCCCCCCCAAAAAATAGATCTGTAAGGGATATAAGTTAATTACAGTTAATTATATATCAGGTTTTACTAAAGGTGTGCTTCTGTGAGCGGTAAGTCAGTGTGGGAAGCTCACTCTCTTAAGCTATACACATCTATCGTTCTGCATTCAGGCCTAGTATTGCTACGATAATAATCCATATATTAAGACAATATCACATAAATTATATCAAAACCAAACCTAATGTGCAAGACCTTAAAGATGTGTTTGCTTTTTGCCTTGCAGTTATTGGTGGTTCTTTTGTGCATCAGTTGTCCTGCAGGTTCAGTAATAAACTAACACATCTGGCATTCTGCACAACATCTGTGGGTAATAACTGACCAGCGCTGCATTTAAAAACAACACTGACCATCACTTGATGACCAGCAGCTTTTTTCTTACCTGACAGATACACAGTCCAATTAGTTGACAGACAGTGGCCGGGGAGGGAGGCGAGACACGAGGCTCATTGGATTCATGCGCCGCAATGTTTAATTCATATGATTTTTTTTTCTTTTTTCGCACGGTGGCTCATAGCCATGCTCAGTTTGTTTAAGATTTCAATCCATTTAAATCACACACTTCTGCAGTGCAAGGAATTTTCTAGGTCTTTCTAAAGAGCAGAGTCAACAACACTGCTCTATTAAAATGCCTTTTGTTGATTCCTCTTCACAAGTTTTTTGAATTGCAAATTGGCTCGCGTGGCAGCCCAATTGTGCCTCCTTTTTTTTCTCTTTTTTTTTTTCTTCGCAGCCTCTTTACATAAAGAAATGGATTTGATACTGTGTGTGTAAGAAATGATAGAATAATTATACAATGTAGAAATTAAATTGCAAATTTTTAATATACTTCATGCATGTGATTGGAAGGTGCAAGCAGTCTATTAAAAAAATAATAAGTATTCTGCATTTAATCTAGGCACCACTATATGTTAACAGCTAATGCTTACAGGTCACTGAATCACAAATATAACTTGCTCGCTGTGCCGGCGTCTTTGGACCTGGAGCCACTGTGGGTTGTTGGGTTCTCTGTCGGTCTCCTAACTATGTTAAATGATGTGAGATGACATATGTTGTGAATTTGCAATTCAATTTTATAAATAAAACTGAATTGAATTAATTGAATTTTTCTGTAAATAAGAGCATTCATTATTATCTCAATGATTTCTGTAATCTGTACGCTTTTTTTCTATAAACGATTAATTATTAAATCTATAAAATGCCAGAAAACTGTGAAAAAAAAAAACCTTCAAATCCCAATTTTCCGTCTATATCACCAAAATATTAATTTGTAATGCAAAAGCTCCAATTCCTCACATTTGATCAATAGGAAGCATTCATTTGACATCAATGTGCAAATCGTCCCCTGAAACTGCGGCTCCTCCTCAACCTAACGGGGCTCTGTAATGAGTTTCAGGTCGTTGTTTCGGTGTCACATAAAAAAAATTCCCACACAAAGAGCAAACAGGCAGCTGGTAATATTTATAGTGAAGCATTTAGCAGTTAATGGTCCAGATATTTTCCCGAGGAGTCGGAAGAGACCAAAGCAGAGCTAAAAGAGGATAAATCTCAGACTTGATTATTCATCGGGGCACAGGCGCAGCTCTAAATGGATGATAATCTAACTGCTAGATGTGCTGGTTCTCTGTGCTTCCCATTCTTCTGTCTATGTAATTGCAGTAAATTGTATGTCGCTTAGCTTCAGATTGCTCAATCATGACTAAGAATTCACTAGAAAGCCATGGCTGGTGTTCAACTTCTTCCCAGGAAAAGTAACTTGGACTCACCAGAAGCTCATGTCTGCTATCTATGTTCCAATGCCTTATACCATGGATGTTCAGGCATAATGACACATCTCAGCCATTCCTATGCTAATTCGAACAGAGGCATCAGCATCCAGTCTAAACTGCCTCTGATCTCTATCATGAAAACTGCTCTTTACGGCTGTTTGAATATATATGTACCACCTTTCCATAGGTTTATGGGATGAGAATTGCCATTCGCACAGCACACTGTAGGGAACGGGGGAGCCAATTTGTGAATTCTCTCCCAGTCATAACAGGAAATGAGCGTGACAGGTTTGCAATCGGAAGCAGCAAAGTTTCGCTCCCTCTCGTTTTGCATCTAATGCCGAACTTTGCTAAGACTCACCTGGAATGCACTGCCATGACCAGTCGGATCTCCTCAGGGGGTGCGAGATAAACAAGCTGGCTTGTTTTGACAGAGCTGAATATAGACCTTTACTCCCCCTGACATGCTGCATTGGCTTGCCTGTCCATTAGATGCTTATGACATGCATGCATAATTCACAGTGGACTGGTGTATGGGGCTCTCAGCCTGTGCTGAATTCTTCTGCACCGCGCTGCTGCTGCTGCTGCTGAATGAGACGCCCTGCCGAGACAACCAAAGATTATGTTGATGCGCACCACACTGAGGATGAAATAGGATTGCTTTTTGTCTCACACAAACAGAACCCAAATTATAGACTCGGAACTGACCTGCCATAATGGCACCGGAGTATTTCTTTTTGTTTGTTTATTTTACTTCTGGGTTGTTTAGTGATATGTAAGACCATGCTCCCATTTATGAACCTCAAAAAAAGAGATGTAATATAAGATCACTGTCTGACTCGGAGGTAATTTGTCTTGTTTGGTCAACATCTCGGGTAGGAAATGATTTGTTTCTGAGTGTGGCATGTTTTTGCAATTATTTGTCCAAGTTGCAGGAACATAAAGAAATAGGAAGAACTCAAACTAAGATTGTTGGACAGTCTGGAAGAATATATATCATCTCTGTAGGATCTCTAAAGCGTGTGCTGTCTCTTCACAGAGGCGACTGTAATCACCAGCCCAGCCGGCCACCTGGACGTGACTGTCGGTGAGAGCATCGTGATGCCCTGCCAGGTGTCACACGACCCGACGCTGGACCTCAAGTTCACCTGGTTCTTCAACGAGCAGCTCATCCACTTTGGAAGCCACGGGGCCTATTTTGAAAAAGTTGGTGGGGTGAGCGCACCTTTATGTCTTTGCATCCTCCTCTGTGTCCTCAGGGTAAAACAGGATGTAAATATGAGACGCTTTGGCACATCAACATCCCCTTTAGATCATAAGCGCTACTTTCTGATTTGAATTGTTTAAATGACCTTTGAGCTCGTAGTTGTTGTGGAACAGCATTTACACACTGTATGGTATTCATAGGCAAAGTATATTCTCTTGAAAATGTTTCCATTTGAAGGCGGTGATTCGTTTGATTTGATCACCAGCTCAAAGCAAAGCCACATGTGAACAGTCGGACTCAGTATAACAGTCAGAGCATCCTCCTCTACTTACTCTCTATTATACTACAGATGAAATTGCATGAACTATATATAAGGCTGTTTAAAGTAATTTATAAGGATGCTGTTTGAGCTCCAGTAAAATTACATCACAAATTTTTTGCATATTTGCATCTCATTTCTCTTCAGCTTCATTTTTCTGACTCAACAGCGGGATGTTTGCCTGTTCCATTTGTTAATAACATCTTTTTCCGTTGACAAAAGCAGAAAACAAGGAAGTGGCGATGCAGCGCGCGGCAGCCATGCGTTACGTTTGATCTTCATCTTTTAATTAAGAAAAGCAATTATGAGGTCTTGGCCTCTGTGTCACCTCTTGTTTGTTTTGGGGTTTTTTTTTCCTCTGTTTTTTTGTGTGGCATGATCACGGACAAGAACAGCTCTGTAATTGTGTGTATTCCCTCGCATGCCTCACATGACAAACTGGTGACACGTTAACTGTGACTACTGATTAAAAATTCCCTGATCTCTTTGGCAGAGGGGCTACTTTGTAAAAATATCTGCTTCTTTTTCTTGACATTGCGCTGGGAATTCAAAAAGAGTAATGTAGCGCACGCAATAAGCAGTGAGTCACTAGTTTGTACATAAAGTGTAGGCGTCATCGGTGTAGCTACTCTACGGTCCAAGTTCTGCTTCCTTAAATGTATGAATCTCAGTGTTTGATTTCTACTTTTAACATCCTCTGCGACAAATGAAACACGCTTCTCCGTCGAGCGCAAAGGAAACTGAGGATTTTAAGCAGCTGAGGGAGTTACTGTGTGCTAATACCGTCATGTTGTGATATCATACGTCGAGCAAACTGCGGCGACAAGCTCCTCCAGCTCTGCATTGACTGCAGCTCGCAAATTGTTCAATTAATAATTACAGCGTGATATTATTTTCTGCGCAGGAACGACTGCCATTAGTAAGCGCTGAAAACAATCCAGCAGCATCATCTGGTAGCAAATAAACTGTAATAAACTGCATGCTGAACAACGGGGAAAAAAAACTGTATGTCAGCAGCAGTGATTTGCAACTTCCCTGTCAGCACGACACTCGTGGGTTTTTTTTCAAATTTTATCACATTTTGCAGCTTCCAATAGTGACTCCTTGCATTTTTTTGTGGCTAATTGTTTTTATGGTAGTTTTACTGTAAGGGGTGATAAAGATAATAGGACTCACGCAGTCTATCCAGAAAAGCAAATGTTTAACTAAAAGACATTTTAATGACAGAAAAAAACTCAAATGTGCTTTCAGAGTAAAAGCTACCGGGCAAGATTAAATATTTTATGTCCAATGTACAGTGTGATTATGTTGCCTGAGATGAAGGAGAGTCGAAGGATGCGCTGGTGAACCCTGTTATTTTCGACTCGGTGTTGAAAACTTATCAGAAAGCGAATATGTCTGTACATTTTTATGCAGTCAGCTGTAACACAAAGCAACTGCCCTGGCAGATGCAAATGCAGCATTGTAAGGGCAAAGAATGACATTTAGCTTTTCTTCTGTGTCTAAAAGGCAGACAATGGAGGATTACATCGTCTTGCAGGACTTCTCACTGTCTCACTTCATTTCATAAGCAAGCTCGGAGGTTTTATTTTGTCCTTGCTGTATATAAAATTTGCCTAAGTGAGAGATCTGTGACCCATTCTGTCTCCACTTATATTATTTTAATGATGGAGGGGGGGTTTCAAAGAGCGAATGACTTGGAGCAACTGAATTTTTATCTCCATAAAGTGTCCCTGATTATACATCAAAGTAGTTATCGAGTCTCATCCTGTTTCACAATTCCTTACTTTCACAGATAAGGCATCAACTTAACATTAGTTCGAACTTTAAAGTTCAGAGCTAATAATGCGTTTGGCATTGAATGGTTGTCTGTAGAGTAAATGGAATCGGGGAGAATAAAAGGGATAGAGCTGAAAGAAGCTTTTTAATTCTACACAAAGACCTGTCCTCATGAACGATCATGAAAAGCAGCACTCAGTCATTTGGCGCGTCCCTGGACTTGTGCTGTACCTTGTCCTTTCGTAATGTAATAAACTGAATGCCAAAAGAAAAAATCACTGTGGCATTGCACTTGTTTTTGCAGTTCTTTCGCCTCATTTTGTAACCTTAAAATCCTGCAATTTTACAGGGTTTTTTTCTATTTTTTGATTCTTTTTTTGTTTGCTTTTCTTTCCATTTCCTAACTTCTGCAACCACCAGCGGTCGGATGGTGACATTATGATCCGGAACATTCAGCTGAGGCATGCTGGGAAATATACCTGTGCGGTTCAGACCAAGGTGGACAGTGTGTCTATTGCCACCGATGTCGTCGTAAGAGGTAAGGATGTCCGTATTTGTAAAAGGAATAATTAAATAAGTAAATAAAATAGAACCCTTACAAGACTCAACTGAATTGGGTGCTGCAATAACTCAGCTGGTTGAGCTGGCGTCCCATGTTCAGGGGCTCTAGTCCCCAGTGTCAGAGGTCATGGGTTTGAGTCCCGGTCATGGCTCTTTCCCCGCAGGTCCTTCCCCCATTCTCCTCCCCCATCTTCATGTCTCTCTCTTGACTTTCCTATTGAATAAAGGCAAAAACTTAAAAAAGAATCAACAGAGTTATTGCAATAATGTATATTTTCAAATAATTTCTTTGACTTGATATTCAGTATTAAAAAATAACACTAGCAAGACTTATGAAAAAGTATGACTTGATAGTCGACATCTTATTACTTTTACGTCTTCTGGGATTTTCCCATGTGTGCACAACCTCCAAAAATTCAGATTTCAAATTGTGCTTTTTCCTTAAGCAGCAGAACCTTAAACGATGAGCTTTTATTGCAGCTTAATTTCACTTTTTCCAATGTCAGCCATTTCACTCATTCAGGTGAAAAGATTGTGCTTTATTGTGGGCTACTAAACATATAGATATACAGTATGTTTGAGGATTATATATGATAAAGCAGACCAGACAATAAAAGCTCCTTTCAACTTAAACTTATTAGTGTATATATAAGCACATGGTTAAAAGATTATGGCTATTTGTTGGCCACTAAGCTTAACGCTAAATGTATGAGGGGCGTAAATGGTAAACATAAACAATTTAAGGTAGAAAACGAAGCAGTTTATAACTGGTTTTGCCCCACCTATTATCCATATAAATCCAAATATAGCTATAACTACTACACATGTGTTATACCCCAAACAGACACAGGCAGCCCTCGTTATCGGGCTATGACAGCGCTGTAGCTGAGATTTTTTTTTCAAGGACTACATTTGCAGCATCACCTCTCAGTAACTTTTGCATTCCCCCTGACCCACAGAGAAATTCTAGGCTGTAATATCACACAGCATTTGTGTCATAGTCGACTTCCACAGCCTGCTGGTCGTGACTACAGTGAGAGTCTGCAACCCTGCATGTAGAAAGAGAACTGTAGCTGGTTCACCTGCTCTCTCTCTCTCACTCACTGGCTGCTGCTGAGACAGACTGCAGCTCTGATTATGACTGCAGCCTTGGGATGACATATCTGTCACTGCGACTGTGGCTGCAGCCGTGGCTGTTCTTTGGCTGGTAGAATTCTGACTGTGACACATTTATTGTTAATGGGTGTAACACTGACTACATGCAGCGGTCGGTGTTTGAGCAGCCATGGTCTTGCTGGCTGAGCGTTGTATTGAAGTTGCCGCTTTCCTGAACTTCACATCTGTCATTAAAGCACCGCAGGTTCAAATAGTAACAGCTGGACACATCCGCAGCACAGCAAACCGGACCACAGCCGAAGTCTGAACAATAACTACAATCAGCCACAGCTTCACCTGTCACAGCCAGGCAGGGCGGCTGCAGCTGGGCTCACAACCAGCAGCTGTTGACTGTCGGGGATCGGCTTTTTAAAATGAGTAATGAGCCTTAAATGCATCATGTGAAGTGCCACATAATTTCCGTGGCATTTGTGGAGTGTTTCCCTGAACTGGCAGTGGACTGTAACTGGACTCGACCAACACACTCACTAATCATTTGGATCAGAAGGAAGGAAAAAGCTACTGCATGGTAACTGAAATGTAGTTGGCGCATGGTATAGCTTGAAAATACACAACATAGCTCCCATACCGGGGGTGCTTATTGCAGAACCAGCATTCACACAAGTACAACCACTGTGTCTGTTTTTGTGTATGTGTAGTTTTGACAAATGAGAGTTTTCCCCTCATAATACCATTTGGTTGTTTCATTTCAGTCATCTTTGCAAGGGGTAAAGCTATGTAGTCAATCACAAAAAACTAATATTACAGAGAAATGAATAGAATTCTGTACAATAGAAAATTATTTTGAAGTTTTTTCCTATCCTATTCATCATCTTGAGGCCACTCTGATTTACCTCGCAAACCCCTGGAGAGGTTCTGATCCTCAGATTAGGAGCTGCAAAAAACATTAAAGGAGAGGAAGACCACATTTACAAGAATGAAGTGCAGATTTGTTCCTCATTTATGTTTCTTTTTTTTTTTTGATGAATTACCACTGATGTGAAATTGTAAAAGTTGATGCAAAAGTAAAAGTTGAGACTGGTTCAGGATTGCTTCAGAAAGCGTTAGCAGCTGTTCTCCTAATAGTCTCTCTCTTTTAATCAGTGTGTTACATCAGCTTTAAGCGTGGCCCACCCACTCTGTGTCTCCATTCTGCCGCCTCTCGTCTCCGTTAATCTCGACACTATTCATCACCCTGTGTGAGCGAACTGCGGCTAATTATGTTTCCAGGTCCTCCAGGCCCCCCTGTGGACTGTCAGGTGACCGAGATGACGGAGACCACGGCCCCTCTGTCCTGGGGACCGGGCTCGGACAACCACAGCCCCGTCCTCAGCTACACCATCCAGGCCAGGACGCCCTTCTCTCTCGGGTGGCAAGCCGTCACCACTGGTAGGCCGGTTTCATCTGACAGTCCGTGTGTAGGTTTTCATAAATGTTAAATTTACTGAGGAGATAAAAAGGATTGAGGGTGGTGACTGGGATCCTTTTTTTTTTCTGAACACCACACATAAAATGACAGTAAATAACACATCACCAGCTTGGCTAACTTTCAGTGGCAGATCTTGCAGGGCTTTGATGAAAGGTTATTTCTGTGATGTCTCTCAGTTCCTGAGCTGCTGGGGGGGAAGCAGCTGTCAGCCACTGTCATTGACTTGAGTCCCTGGGTGGAGTATGAGTTCAGAGTCTTGGCAACCAACAGCATAGGAACAGGAGAGCCCAGCAAACCCTCCACAAAGGCCCGCACCAAAGAAATGCGTATGTATCAGACGTTCCTTACATCTCCTCTGCTGCCAACAGTGACACAAATGGTTTCTAAATTATGCACATTAAGGGGAGAGAGATCCGACTTCAGGACAGCAATTAGATCCCTTCAAAGAACTTTATTGTAGCGCGGTTTTTCAGAGAAATCTCTGCTTCCTCAAGGCGCCACAACACATGAATGAACCAGCAACATTATTGATTCCAGGCACCTTCAGTCAGATAGTTTGACCTGCTTGTATGAAGAGAGCGAAAAATAAATCCTCTTACAGCCACTGCATAGAAATACCTGTAACAGATAGAGTATTTTTGGTTTACAACTTACTTGCAGTAAGCCCAAAATGCAAAAAGTTAACTGTTAGTTGAGAGTTTTTATACAGAGCTGCACATATAAGAATGCATAGGCACCCATGTATTCCTTATGCACATATACATATAAGATGGATTAATACACAATAGCAACATAACACATTACACCGTCTCACAATAACCAACCCACAGAAATACCCTCTGAATGAGTACAGGGCGGTAATTTACAGCTTCAGTAAGACCTCAATCTGATGGGTTTTGGGAGCACCACTGCAAATTTGAAAAAGTTGTATAAAACCTTTTATAGCTCCAGAGAAAGCTGCAGGAAGTCGTAAATGTCTGACATGTTGTAACGGTGAGCAACAGAATGCTGCATATTTTCAGTAAGATTTGCAGATATCTGAATATACAAGCTTTCACATCTCCTAAAACTGTGTTTGATCGGTTAGTTCCAAGAGTGACTCCAGCGAGGGTGAATGGTGGCGGCGGAGGACGTTCGGAGCTGGTCATCACATGGGAGGTGAGTTTTTTTTGTTGTTTGTTTGTCTTTTAGCACTTACATTAAGTGGTGTAATCTGTTTTTATTTATTTGTTATTTTGAAGTTCATAATTGAGAGAGGTTTTAATTTAAAAAAACTCAATTTTGTGTGTTTATGAAATGTAAAAAAAAAAAAAAAAAGACAGTCCTGTTCATATTAAGGCTGCTAAAAAGCAAAAGAGTAATGGAATATTGATTTTAAATGTTTGTATCATCTAATTTTATACATTGTTTGGATTTCTGGCATCAATTTTGTAGCAAAAGAGTTGGAACATGTCGAGAATCACTTTGCGGTGCTGTTTGGATATTTCTATTATGTTTCTCCTCAGTCTAAAATCACTTAACCAGACAGAATGATAAGTTCATGCAAGCCTTGCACGGACAGAAAGTGCCCTCAGCGCTGTTCGTCTAAGTGGCCTAATCTGTGCAGAGCTGCATTTCTTTTAGGTATTAATATCTGTGAGATCAGTCATGCTCGTCTCTCTTGAGTCATCCCTCTGAGTCATCTCGTACCTCCTCAGCCTGTTCCTGAGGAGCTGCAGAGCGGTCCGGGCTTCGGATACGTGGTGGCTTTCCGCCCACTCGGGGCGCAAGGTTGGATGCAGGCTGCCGTCACGTCGCCAGATGCTTCCAGATACGTCTTCAAGAATGAGAGCATCCCTCCCTTCTCCCCTTACCAAGTTAAAGTCGGGGTTTACAACAACAAGGGAGAAGGACCCTTCAGTACAGTGACGACTATTTACTCAGCAGAGGAAGGTGCGTGATATTGGAAATGTTAGTTTACCTTTGGGAATGTGCCAGTCATTACATCACAGTAATGCATTATCAGATTAGTATTCGTCTCATTGCAGTTTTTTCCTGTTTTATACACTGGTATTGTAAAAATCCATTGATCCAAAGTCAATTTTGAAACGTTATGCAAAAGTTTTTACCAGTTTTGGTTATTTTACATGAGCAACATCTGTACTTGTAGCTAGTATTTGTACTAGCTTGAAGGACTAAGATGGAAAAAGGTGAAATTGCATATTTTTATGTACCAGTGGGAATATTAAAAGTATACTTTAGCATAATTTTTAGGAAGTTTTGGGTTCGTTTTTTTCTTTTTAGACACCAATATCAGTCTAATCTAGAGGCACTAATTAGGGATGCAAGCTATATCGGCGACCACGTTGGTGATATTAGTGTTTTTTCCCATAAATCGGTATCGGTCCAATGAACAAATTTAATGAAAAACCGATGATTCTCTCACATTAGCACCTTTGTCTCTACATTTGATGTTGCTGCTATTTCACAGGTGTTTTTACTTAAATTGTCCTGGACTTGAACATTAAATATGTCAAAATATGTTTAAATACGTCTTGCTTTTGTTACGTAAAGAAGACTGTGGGTCTAATTTGGTACAGGCTTCTTTTGAGTAGTCTTCACGTTCTCACAGTGCTTACTGACACTCATTTTTCGGTGTGAACAAAAATTGAATATCGACAACGGTAATATCGGTTATCGGTGATATCAGAAATCTTAATATCAGATATCGGTATCTGCCAGAAATTTTCATATCGTGCATCACCAGTACTAATGCACTTATACGTGCAGCTGGACACACACTAACTGACCTACCTAAACACAGACATATGGACAACACAAAAGAACACAGCAACCTAAATCCTAATATTATTTAGGGTAATTCAGTATAAACTATTAAAACAATCCAGTCAAAGCAATCTCTGTGAAGAAACTCTAGTATCTATGCTATTTCTTTTACATCTTTTGCAGCTGTTGTGGCTTAAATGTGCTTTTTCCAGTATGTATATATTTTTAATTTTATTTTATTTCTGGAGATCAATTTATACTGACCCTCACTTTGGGTTCCACTGATCTTATGAACTGATCAAACCACACCCACACAGTCCTGAAGATGTTTATGACTGGTGAAGACTCAATAAATCATGTAAAGAAGCATTTTTTTCGTGAACTTGGACCCAAGCTGTTGCACATTTAATCATGAATATTTAAAGAGACATAAGACTTTCGTAGGCTGTAAAATCACGTTTAATCAACAAACTAATGCAGGCAGTGGTGGCATTAGCAGGTTTTAATTTTGCATAAAGACAAATCAGGAAAAGTTGGCCGCAAAAGCTGGAAGGTAATTGCATTTTACACCAAACATCGGTGATCAACCCAAAGTGTTTTCCTGTGTATGACGATCCTTTAAAAGAAAGTTATGAAGCACAGTTCCATCATTATCATATTAACAGTTTACATAAAGCACTTAATACTTTAGCACATGTGTGCTATAGACGCCACACCTGCATATTGTTGTCACCGACCAAATGAAGTTATTATATCACGCTTCTGAGTGGCACAATATCCAGTCGAAACTCCTCCTCACTCTGTCTCACGCTGTAGTGTGGATCGACCGGATGGAGCTGCAGCATATTCAGACAGTTAGACGTGGGTGTAGTGAATCCATGTCTTCTTCCCCCTCCCCCCCACCTCCTGCACCCCCTCCTGACTATCCTGTGTGCCTTTCAGAGCCCAGCAGAGCTCCGGGGAGGCTGAGGGCGAAGAGTGTATCAGCATCCGAGGTAGAGGTCACCTGGAAGCCGCTGGCCTGGAGTAACAACCGCAGACGCATCCTGGGCTATGAGGTCAAACCAACACATGCCCACACAATAGGACTTGTACAAACATAGTGGCCAGAAGCGAGTGACATTATATGTTTATTTATTTTTCATTAGATAAAAATGTGCTGACCTTCCTGTGTCTATATGATTATGAAATAAGCAGCAGTATATGAGAGCCCTCTGGGTTTAATGCTCACAATTGTAAACAGTTAAATATGGGAGCAGCAGATTAGATGCAGATGAATAAAGTGTAGTTTTCTTTTTTGTGTGTGTTTTAGTTGCAGTATTGGGGTGAGAAGGAAAAGCAGGCTGCAGCCAGCGTGATCAGGACGGTGGGGAATAAAACTTCAGTACTCATCAGGGATCTGGAGGGCAGCAGTACCTATTTCATGTCCCTGCGGGCCTACAACAGCGCTGGAGTGGGTCCACAGAGCAGCATAGTCAACGTCACAACCAAGAAGCCACGTAAGAACTCTGCCTAAATGATACTGCTGGTGACTGACAGTGTCCTTTTGTGTATTCTTGTCCTTGTTTTTTTTGCTTTTTCTCGTCACTACAGGAGCACATTCAATACATTTCACCAATAATAGAACCATTCAGTGTAGAAGGAGTACCGTGTGCTGCTTTCTTAGGGTATCAGCTGTTGTTTTTTACATTGACTGTTTACATTAAATGTGGGTAAATGCTTTTTCCCCCCTTCACAAAGCCATTATCTGATTTTGAAATCACCATATGTTTTCTTCTTTCCTCCTTTTTGCTTTGTTTCCTGGCATCTCGCCGACGTACACAGCATGAAACTATCTCATATTATGCTCATTTCGTTTCGTAGACACGGCCAATTTTTTATGTAAATGCCAGTTTAATTTACCGCCACGCTGGCTGATTTGACATGGAGGTCTACTTGGCGAATGATGAGATGTTTCCAGTTCAGGAAGGATCCCCTAATAACATTATAACCTCTCAGCAGACCCATCTTCTCATTTCTCAGCTTGTGCATCCTCAATTTGCTTTCCTTGTCTCCTCTCCTCACGTTTCAGTCCCTCCCACCTGAGATAAACAACAGAGGAGATGAAACAAGGAGGAGAGCAACAGGCATTTAACAAATTCCTTCCTTCAGAGTGATTATTTTAAAGCAACGTCAAGTCGAAATGACATGTGGCACAGCTGCACCATATGTCCTTTGTTTTGCTGCAGCCTGCCGCTGTATTTTATGATTTCTGTCAGATGAGCAGAACCGTGTCCACGATAACTTGCGGTATATACTTATCTTAAATTCAATTCACAACGGAGCTTAATGTGACAAGAATGTACGGATGTCATTCATCTTTTTTTCAGACGCGCCGTGAAGTATAAAAGCAGCTGCACGCTAAAGAGTTACACACAAATAAAGAGTGACATATATTATGATTGAGTGACATCCATCAGCGACAACATTAGAACCACCTGCTGATTACTGGTCCTGTTCAACCTGCCACACAGCTTTGACTGTCGGGATGTCGGGTGTCTTGTGGCTCCGGGATGCTGTCAGTGGATCTTTTGGGGTTGGGGTGAGGCCTGGATGGATCCAGCATCTTCTGCCGCATCTCACGGATTCTCGATAGAACTAAATTCTCTGTAGTTTAGAGGATGTTTTTTTTTTTTTTTTGGCCTTTGTTGGATAGTGTAGTGAGAGAGAGACAGGAAAGTAGGGGAGAAGAATGGGGGAAGGACATGTGGGAAAGGGCCAGGAGCGGGATTCGAACTCATGACCTCCACATTGGGACTGTAGCCCTGCACATGGGACGCCAGCTCAACCAGGTGAGCTATAGTGGCACCCAATTTAGAGGATGTTTTAACATCTCAGGTTATTTGTCATGTTTCTCGAGCCATTCCTGAGCAGCATTTTGAGTTGTGACGGGTCGCGCTGTTCAGCTGGAGAGCCTGTTACCATCGGTTAGTGCCGTTACCATTGTGGTGGGATGTGTTTAGTCTGGCACTGTGTTTAAATGGGTGGTACAGGTCTAAGTATTGTCCACTTAAACAAGGTCTCCTAGCAGAACATTGTATTGCAAGTCATGGTTTGTAACATCCCAGCACAGCTCTTTAGTTCATCACGGGTACCGAAAAGACTTCCGAAAAGACTCCCACAAAGGTTACAGCGAGGATACACCTGTGCATCCTCGCTCGTAGCTCATGGCCTCGTCTGGCCTCGAGATGCATTTTGGGAATTGAGACATCCTTCAAGATGGCGCGCTGAGATCGATTTCACAGGCAGGAGGACGGAGGACAGAGGAGACGAGTTGGTTCAGGAGAGAGAAATGAGAGGAGCCTTATATTTTGTTTCTTCTATTTGTCTTCTCCTTCTTTTTTATGGCTTGCATGCACTTACATGTATATTTTACTGCCATCTGCAGTTGGCAGCAATCTGCACCGAGTCATCTGTGTGCAGAAGCTTGTGCAAGATGCCAACAAATTAGGGGCTCATTAGGACAATGCTTGATGGATCCAATGATGGTAAATAGCTTTAACCTATAGACGGGTGTGTAGCATTTTCTGCTTACTAATAATATATATCCCTTTATTCTAGGTAAATCACAGTGCACACTTCTCCGTGTCATTTCATTACTCCCCCATTCTGACTCCCACACATGTATTCCTGGAGTCACTGCTCACTCCTAACAGTGGGATGATGAACTGATAATGAGAAATCTCCTTCATGCTGAGTTGGTTCTGGACTGTTTATTGATTGGACGGCCTGTTGTTTTTTTTTTCTCTCCTCTTCCTCTTCTTGTCCTGCCCCCCCCCCCTTGTCGTCCTCCAGCTCCTAGTCAAGCCCCGGTCAAAATCATGTGGAACACTTCCAACTCCAAGGTTATCCTGAGGTGGGACCAAGTGCACGCTTTAGAGAATGAGTCGGAGGTCACAGGATACAAGGTAAGAAACAGAGAGCTTTACTCTCCTCCAATAGAGAGACCGCCTGAACGGGAGTCACTGCAATCCTGACGAGTGAGTGGTTTTTATAGATTGTAACATAACAGAGACTGACAGATTGTCACTTGGTCCATTTACTCCATATGAGCACCCTGGTTTTTTTTTTTTTCTTTTTTCTTTCTTGCCAGTTTTGACTGCACTCGTGTTTATGAACACTGATAAACTTCTCACTGCGTTATTAATGCATGAAGCTGTATTTCATGCTCATATTGTGGTGATGTAATGTGTCGCACACAAACAGCCTTCATTTCTTAAGGCAGCTCACCCTACGATGCATTAGTTCTAGCTACACAAAAGCAACAAAACTTTTGCGATCGTTGCTCAAGGGGGAGTCACGGCACCGTCTGATTAATGGTCATCCACCCAGATTGCGACATTTGACTTGCCTCAAATGCATAATACATATTTTAATGATTATTTTAGCAACTGCATTTCAGTTTGTTATTAATCCATCTGAAGTGCCATTTGGCTTGTATATCTGGAAAAAAAAAAAATAGGACATTAGTTTGCAGCCTCCTACACTGGATCTTAGTCACCTGCAGTCGATGCACATTATTCCCACTACATTGAAAGGGTCTCCTGAAATTAGAGTGCAGTGTTTGTCGAAAGGGGACAGATGCATCCACAGTGCAAAAGTGAGGATTGATGAATCTCCGCTGAACCCTCTCCTCCAGATTTTTGGAGATTCATGCTTGTTGCTCTCAGAGACGACTCATTCCATCTCATGGAGCCGAGTTAGATTCTCTTGCCAATGTTTCAACCTCTCACACGATGCATCGGGCTGGGGCTGACTTCGTGCCACGACGTGCGCTGTTATCTTCTTTCGCACTCTGTTTCCTGCAGGTGATGTACAGCCAGGACAAGCACAGCCGACCCAATGTGGTGGAGACCAACAACACCTCCTTGGAGTTGTCGCTGCCAGTCAACCAAGGTTACGTGATCCAGATCAAACCCTTCAGTGAGGGAGGAGAAGGCATCAGCAGCCGCCAGATCACCATCCCCAAGATAGCAGGTAGAACAATCCTGAAACATTAAAATGATAGATGTCTCTGTTTGAGATATAGGATCCCAGCTGAAATATAATCTACCTGCACATGTGCATACATTGGTGTTCAGGAATTAATTTGCCCCCCTCCCTCCTTTACCTTTAAATTGTCTTGTCGCACCTCTCTAAGCGGATTTCTTTTAAGTTCTTAAGTTTCCCAGAACTCGCAGAGAAAGCCTGCAAAAGTATTGCTTTTAATCAAGACTTGTCAGAGTGAAAATATACTCTGCTACTCTAAGCACAACACATTCTACAGCTGCATTAAATAGATAAATTGTCATCTCAGACTCTTCTATGAGGTATTTTCTTCCCCATAAGACATTTTTTTTTCTCCTTATGCAGTAGCTTTAAAATATAGTCTCTTACCCAGAGACGGGGGAATATATGTATATATATAATCAAATAACAAAATAGTCTCCGACATGCACCAAATATTGCCTGTAGCTGGTTGTTTGACAGTGGATGTTCCCTTTTAATCAAGCTGTGTCTGTTGCCGTGCCCGCCTCACTAGTCTCGCTCTGTGAAATTCAGGTTGCCTCCACAGCTGAGTGTGTTGCACTAGTGCCACCTATTGATGTATGTGTTTACTCACACCACAAGCAGCCATTCATTGTGACCGAATGCATTTTTAATTGTGTCTCTATGTTTCTGTATTATGGTCATTTATGTGGAACCTGTATATTTACTGAACAGCTACATTTCTAGACCACACACATGTTGGATTTTGATTTTATTGTCTATTTCAGGCTCCATACCCACAGGAGCAGCTCCAGAGACCTTTCCCTCCATCAACCTTGCAGTCCTAATCCTCACAGCCAGAACGGTGCTATGACAAACATCTGCAGGAACCGGGCGCTACAGCTGCTTTTTAAGAGGAAAACAAAAAAAAACAGCAGGTCAAAGACAACCAGAGGCTGACAGCCGCATTTCCACCTGCTCCCCTTCCCCACCCTACTGTGTCTTTCCTCTTCTTTCTACAAAGATCTCTTTGTGAGGAAGACTCTTTTCCTCTACCTTCCTTAAAGTAGTCACTGAAAGGAACTGTCTCTTTCAGAAGTTGCTTTTATGGAACTGAAAGGACACCATGACTCGACGGCAGTCTCTTTGAAGATGTTCTTTTTTTTTCTCTCTCTCTCTCTGGATATTCTCATAAGGTTTTTTGCCTCGAAGGCCACAATAGGATGTGCATATGTTTTTCTCGGTGGGACCGCGCAGGTCCTCTTAAACGGATTTGTATGTACCACCGGACTTTTTCTTGGATGATGGGATTTAAACATACATGGGAGCGGAGGAGACCTAAACCCATTTGCTAAGCGCATATTTATGTGATTGAAGTCATATTCAAGCTTGATTTAAGGGGATTAAGGGGACACTTTGGAGTGTCTTTGGGGAAACCTCCTGCACCGTCTAAGAAGGAAAACCAACTGTTACTCAACCCTGTCAAGAAAACAAACAAAAAAATAAAAGAAAAGGAAAAAAAAAAAACAAAACAGGGAGCTAGGCCTCATTGCTTCTTGACAACCAGAATTTGAGACCTTTATAACTTTGCCTGGATTTTCTTCATGCTTTTACGTTACATCATCCAAACCTCCGAGTTGCCATGAAACTGAACTGGAACCAAAGGGGCCAACAAGGTTCAATTCCGCCCGTTGTGTCATTGTGAGATAATTCAGCGTGTATCCCCTCCATCATGGCTTCCATTGTAAACAGCAAACTTGTGTTTTATTAATCGATGTCTTACCCCTTCCTCCTTTATCCATGGTAGGTGTGTAACAAAGGCACGCTGAGCAGTGTGAGCTGCGTTGTTGTACACTGTATGTATGAAATCCTCAGGTCCCAAATGAGCCTTAAGTCTTATGATTATTATCCATGTTGTTATTATTCAAAAGAGCTTTTATTTATTTTTCCTTCTTGGTTTATCCGCATTGTATTTTGGCTCACTCATGCTATAATTTATGGATAACTGACCTAACTGTTTGCTATGTTGAGATTTTTCACTTTTGGTCATTTTTTTAGATCATATTTTTTGGGCGTTTTTGGGCTCAGAAAAAAAAAATAGGCCTTTCTCTTATGTCCTTCCTGATGAGCATTGTAATACAATAAGTGGCAGTGATTACTGACTTTTCTAACATAGCTTACTACAAAGTAGGGACGGTTTGTTACTGTCGGCTGCTGTTTGGCATGATGATTGGTCAGTGTATGTACCTTGCTTAGGGTGTCTGAATGGATCAACCTGCTTTTAATAAACATAATGCCATTTTCCTCATTTCTTTCTTTGTTGTCAGAAGAGGCCAAAAAAAGTTTGTGTGCTTTAAATCTAAGTGCTGCTTTTTCAACGGGCTGCCAGTTTCAAGTAAAGCTTTTCAAAGGCGTGGGTGTAATTTTCACTTTCCTAAAAGAGGTTTTTTAAAATTCCAGTGTGACAAAAAAAGTTTCATCCCCTACAGGTCACATTTAATGGTTTTCTAAGGAGTTTGCACTGGAAAACGCTAGAAAGTGGACCGTTTTTACCATTTCTCGAGTGACAAGTGAACTTGTGTGCATATATTTAAATGGTTTTGTTGAATTTTACAGATTTTAAAGTCATTGCTTAAAAGTATGTGACTGGAGTGCTGCTGAAAAGACCATAAAGCTTCCATTAAATATGGCACCTCTCAGTGATACTATTACATAAACCTTAACAACTGACTTAGATTTAAGAAAAACTTTAAAAGAGCAAAAAATATGGCTTCTTGCTTTTGTTAAAGCATTTACAGAAAGCTCGACACATGCTGTATCTGTAAGTCCGATCCACAAAAGCCTATTTTTGTTCACAACAACAACTATTTCTGCCTGGAAATGAGTGCGTGGATGATTCAAGATGGGAATTTTAATCTCTCTAAGCCCCTCTGTTATAACTTTCCTTCTTTGCTCGGAGTCATTGCCACAGTGTGTAGCCCGACTCCTGTTTCAAATTACACAAGACAAAGAGCTGCCTTTTCTTCTCCGTTTCCTTTCTATTGATGCTCCTGATCTTGGTTTAAAAACAAACACAAGTGCAGTCATTATCTGTAAATCCATACCTGCGGGCACCAGGTTTCTTACTTCCTTGAGATGTGCTTGGTGATCCTGCAAGGGTCTTTGCACACCGGGAGGAGAGCGTTAATGCTGGATTTCCTCACATTGTCCAATGCAATATGCTGCACAGTTGTGATGTGCAAGAACAGACACTGGATAGGACAGGACACATGTCTGAATAAAACACTAAATAATGTAACTTTCCTCCCATACAAACCATTTTTTAAAAGGTTTAGACACAAATGTACATTATTTGTGTTACTTAAATACAGATTGTGTTTTCGTGTTTGTCTGATTCTTTTCTTATAGCTGTCAGATGCATTTGTACTGATCAGAAACCTTAATTCAGCAACAGGTGAATGTAAAATAATTACTTTTTTAGATAAGAACTACTTTCTATTTCATTTTTCCATCATTGCAAGAAAACCACCATAAGGTCTATCAATACATTTCTCTTGTTCAATAGATCCCAAGGCGCTTGATTAAAAAAAAACAACAAAAAAAACACTGTTGATATGTAAGGCACCTAAAACCTACACTTTTTCATGATTCAAACATCAAGGACTTGTGCTTCATTAACGTCTTGAAGGACAAACATATGCACACGCAGCAGCCTTAATAAGACAAACACAGGCTTGTGTTGCAGAAATCAAACAGAGGGATTTCCTTCTCATCTGTTCTTTTTTTTTTTTCTCTCTCTTCTTTATTCATTTTCGAAGGAAATGCAAGTACAATGTACAGCAAAAGACACAGCACCAAGCAATGTAGAGCAGCAGAGCAGAAGAGATGAAGCTTTGGAGGAGGAGGAAGAAGAGGAGGACAGCTCAGGGCTCAGGATTAAAGGTCAGCCAGAGGTCATCCAATCAGACTTCGGCACCAGGTTCCTCAGCAACAGCCAAGTGTCTGCGATTAATCACAGTCTGGTTATTACTTGTCAGACTTCCATGAGCAGGCCGTTTTCTGGACAGAGGGAGGTGAGTTTGACCTTACAGGTTGATCCGAGGAGGATTTGGATAATTTGCCCCCTTAGTGAAAGTGATGGTGAGAAGGACTTGAGCTGCTTGATGCTGCTGCAAAGCTTCTTTTTTAGGTAACCGATGCGCCCTCAGCGTGTCTCAAGCCCGTGGCCTTTTTAACTACTTTACACAATCCACCAAACAGCACCAAATATACAGTACAAGGTATGCACGGCTGCATTATTGTTATTTTTTTCTTACTTTTTTTTTTTTTTTCTCAATCCACCTTCCAGTTTGACATCCACATCCATCACTAAACCATCACTGTAAAAGGATTTGGAATCAAAATCGGAAACACAACAGGAGTTACACCACACATGTGAACACTGACTGCAAAGTTTGGTGTCTGAAAGCCAAAGTCATACCTCAGCAAAACCCTCGTGAACCTGACATGACAGTTTGGTTTTTTTTATCAGTAGAATGAATTTTCTGCTGCATGTGTTGATTAATGTATAAAATATGACTTTTGCAAAGAACAAAATTGTACTTTTTTTTTTCCTGTTTTTTTTTTTTTTTCCTTCAAACACTAAAGAGATCATAATTAAAGGGAAACCTCGCCATGCCAAGTTTATGCATTTGACTTTCTGGCACTTTTGTAATTAAAAGTAGCTTGTTCATATAAAGTTATTTCATACAAAACCAGCGTTTGTACAATTCGACTGCTACCTTAATTGGCACATTACACGTCTATGGCATCCCTCTAACATCCATGTACCAAATCACACACAGCTAAAAGTTCAAAGATGCTTCTCCTACTGTATAGTTTATTCATTTATAACACTACTTTACATGAAAAGGAGTATCAGTAACAGCTCTGATGCATAATACCATTTCAGCAGGGTGGCTTAAAAAAAAAAAAAAAAGATGAAGGAAATTTGCTGCAAAATTAATAGCAGTAGAAAAAAAACCATCAGTCACCACAACCACAGTGTCGAGTTGTTTCTTCACCAGAAAATTAAAAGCAAACGGATATCTTGAGATGTATTGAACAGCACCAGCGGCTGGAAATGAGATTAAAGTGTTAAAGGAATAAACTTGAGCCAACCTGCTGTCACTAGGTGTTGGGAATCGAGAAAACTGAACGTATTGTGTGCTTGATATTTCCCCAATTTTTTTTCTGATGAATGCTCTTCATTTCCTCTCAGGAAACTTAATTTCCTCTTTTCCACATTAGACCTCAGACTGTGAGTAATTCAGCCTTTTATGTCTTTGTGTTTCTATCGTGATCCTGGATATTACGATCCGTCGCTCGTATTTATGAGTTAATATCCATCGTACTCGATTACAGTCCAGTAATGCAGGAAATCCTCATACAAACATTATCTCAAACACAACTTTTACTAGTGTGGCAGCCCGTTTTGTCACTTGAACGAGGGTGGAAGCCTACTTCTATGTAATTACTACACAAAATGGCCAAAGTGGTATTATATCCAGCTGGATTTCGGGGAGGGGGGGAAAAAAAGCATATCTAAAGGCTGGGAGAGGAGGAGGAGGAGGAGGAGGAGAGAAACTGGGCTCATTCTGAAACATCAGCATGCTCAGAAACTACATTGCCACCGTTTGAATAAATACAACAGGTACACTGTGTATTAACAGCTGCTAATGATGAGACACATATGCACATCCTTGCATTCTTCTTACACATCCTTGCCACCCACGCATCGGGGTGAAATACAGAAAGTATAATATTAAAAAGGTGAGAGATGGAAGCATAGTGATCCGACTAGCTAACTTTGGTCCTCGCAGAACACTTGAGCGCACACCTCAGGGGGACCATGAGCCTTTCTAATCAGTGCATCCTCATCGCTCAGCGTGATGGGATGGAACAGAGCTCATTTGTTCAATTGACTGGCTATGCAGGAATGAAAACTAAACAGAGGGCTTCTTCTTTTGCCCTCACTAAAACCCTGCTTTAACAGTTACATGTAATGGATAGTTGTACTTAGTGATAATAAAGTGTAAACACACACAGGAAGTTTTTCAGCAGGTTTTTTTTTTTTTCAGCACATACAGCAGGAATCAGGCGGTTTCTTGTTATTCAGTACAGCAAGATAAGACGCTCACATTTCCTAAATTCCCAAAAATGAGACTTTCTGCGAGGGAGAGGTACCAACATGGCACGTGACCTTCGGGTTATTCCACAGTGAATGAGCGCACGGATTTTCTAAACGAACCCCTTCTACGTGAATTCCCTTTGACCTTTTAGGAATACTTAAGCAGGCGATTTGAGTCCCTGAGAGGTTTGCAGGGAATTTAGTTGGATTATGTGTTTAATTGTGCCAGATGTTTTGTTGTTCTGGTGGCATATTATTGACCAGTTGATGACCATGAATGAGGTTTGCTGTTTTTTTTTTCGGTGTTTTTTTTTCCACTGAACAATCAATGATTTCAATGCTTAAATAAAAATAAAACAACTTGAAAGGAGTCCTGTTTTCAGCTTTGTGAGTGTACGAGAGGCTCCGTCAGAGCGCCACTGGCAGTAGTCTTATCAGTCGGGATGGTGGGTGGCAATTTTCAGGTTGGGCACTGACGCTTCTGGTCCAAAGGGGGGCACTCTTGTCTCAGGAAATCAGGACTGCAGCAAAGGAAAGAAAAGATAAACAAACCTTCAATTCCTCAACCCTCAAAAAGGAGGTTAGAGGAGGCAAAGGGCCCGGCCAGATACCATGGTTTGGAGTCAGGAAGGCGGCCGTACCTCTGATGCACCGTGTCGATCCTCAGTGGACGATTCTGTTTCCCTGACAACAACTGCCTTTGTCACCTGCATGTCCGGATGCTGCTGCTTGGCTTCCTGTATTGCAATAGCCAGAGCCTGCAAGGAGAGAGGGAAGTCTAGTATGAAATGAATCACAGAAACAAATGTTTAACCTCTAAATACTTCTCTGTGTTTTATAACTCCAGATTGAATTACAACTAAAAGCTAATATTCAACAATAAAACAGACTCAACACAATCCCAGCAAACAGGGAACGTTCCCACAACATTAGATAACATTGCCTACAAGTTCTACGTTTTAATCGAATGTTCAAAAAACAGTTACAGGATACAGGATATGTAACATTTCAAACATGTTGCTATGAGGTTAAAATAGAACTAGGACAAGATGTTTTAACAATGTTTGGATTATGTTGTGAGATTATTTAACATGATCACAAAAAAAAAACAACATTCAAAAAATGTTCTTCTATATAACGCTCTCACAAATGGTGCATGATTATAAAGAATGGATGTTATTATAGCAATAATAGGCAACAATCAGAAAATGTTTCAAGGACATTGCCTTTAAAAGGGATATTCTGTCAACTACAATAAAACTTCCCACTGAAAACATAACTAGAACTTTCTCAGAACAAAACAATTCCAGCTGGGATTTTCCTAAAAGTCTGTAAATTCCAGACAAAGGTTGTTTGTTTTTTTTTAGCAAATAGAGCAGAAATTATTTGTCATTTGATCTATTTTGTCTTTTTATAGACAAATGATCAACATCTACCTTGACAAGAATTTACCATTTCAATAATTTTCCCTACAAATTGAATTTATTTGTGTAATTTCTTCAGTATCTGAAAGACTCCAAGGCTTAAATCCTAACCTTTGTGTGTGTTTGAATTAAAATACAGCACATAAACAGTTACACTACTTCTTATCCAAGATCCACCACCTCTAAATGTACAAAACGACACCCAAACCCAACAACTAGTAGCAGTAACTATCATGCACATTTTGACTCCACCATTTCACCCACAGCTCACCTGTTCCTGGTCTACGTCATCGTCTCCTGTGATGATGATTCTCTTCTCGATCCTGGTCTCTGAATATCCTCCTTTCACCGTCTGCAACAAACAAAGGCTTTTTTTGTAACTGGCGTTCAGTAGAACCCACATTTTAAAAATCTGAGCTGCACTTCCTTGTGTTGCAAAAGCGACACCAGGGGGCGCACTATAGCATGCTATAAATATACAGTAAACGTGTGCTTTCTAAGTTTTATTTAAGCTTCTCTACCTTTGTCACATGAGTGGTTGCTGAGGTAACGTTTTCAGTGACAAGGATGGGCGACCCTGCTGCCTCTCTTCCCAGACTGCTCTTGTGCACCTGAGAAAGCAGAAACACTCTGAGCATCAGGCAAATACAACAAAAACACAAGAATTATTACAGAGGAAGAAGCAAACAGTGATTCCTTTCAGACATTGTATAACATCCAGTCAGGCGCACAGTCATGAATTCATGTCTGTAAGTAGGTTTGAACCCTGGAGAGCAGGACGGAGCATGCTGCAGGTTAAAATTGGAGAGGTCCTCCTGTTAGTACTCACAGGGGAAACGCTCTGTCTCGTAGTGTAAGACACCTCGCTCAGGCCGCTGATACCGTGATCCTGAAACAGACCAGTTCAGTGGGTAACCTGTTTTACATGTGGCTGTAAATGGAGCAAGTTTCCAGCGATAGTTTTCTACAATATTTCTCAGTGAAATATGGAACTAACCTGATCTGTGAACTCCACGATGGTTGTGGTGACCTCTGACCCGTTGGGCTGCGTCTCCGTCCTGACGTCCGTCTTCCTCACCATTGGTGTGGGCATGACGTCGCTGGCCTCCCTGCTCAGCGGCGCTACAGCGGTGCCTCGACTGGCCTCCCTGTGTGACTGATCCCTGTCCACCGACGACGACACCGGCACTGACCTCTTTGGTTTTTTGGGAACTACAGGCTTAAGAAAAGAAAAAAAACAAGTTTTAGTGTTCATAGATGACAGTGGCCACATACTGAGCTTTAAAAGGACTGAAGTTGGAGGCACCTTGGTTGCAAAAGAACATTTCATCAATGTTCTGACTGACAGAAAAGGGCAAAAGACACACTTAAGCAAATATAATGTAACATGCAGATGGGCAATGTCTTAAGAGAGATATTGTATCTTTGAGATAAGACTTAAAGAAATGCATAAAAACAGGAAGAAGAAAAAAGCCTGCTTGTCTGTTGGTTTAACTTCATTAATTGAGGTGAGTGTTGTTTAAATGGCAAACTAGGAGAAGCTCTACAATAAGCATCTTTAAAGAAATACATAAAACAACCCAAAATCAATGGACATGCATTGTTTAAAAGAAATTTGATGGAAAAAAAAAAGTTCACATGGGTATGATGTCATAAAAAGAAGGCATGACATCTCGTGATCCTAAAATCACAGTCGTAGTTGAAATGGAACAGCGCACCGAGATTGAAACTGTAAAGCTTCTACAAAATCTAGAAACAAATGGTCGCTGCTTGATTCCACTTTTTTTTTCTAAATTTTTTTCTGTTTTTTTTTTTTTTTCTTTGCAATGTTTTTAAATGCTGTAAAGCACTTTGTGTTGCTATTTTGTATGAGAAGTACTACATAAATAAAGTTTAATTTAATTTGATATAGGATGTGATTATGTATCAAAATACCACAAAATAATTCTATACTCATTTTTCCCTTTTGGCAAATGCAAATATTGTTAGATTTCATTTTGCCAGTTGCTTATTGTTAAAAAGGGGCACTGCTGGTGGTCATTTTGATAGCAAGAAAACACACGCTGTTAGAAGAAATCAAATGTCTAAGTTTAGTATATTATTTCTGTTAACTACGTAATCACATAGCCTCCTGGAAGTAAGCTAAGAAGAGCAGGAAGTATTACCACATCAGTAGAACCTCCAGCTAGCTATTTGCAGATGTTCTTCTACTGACATGTGTATAATATTCTAAATAAATACTACATACATGGATATTTTTAAGTGACTGTGTGGTGGCCATGGTCAAAATAGCTTTGAATGCCCTGTTTTTTTTCCTGCTTTTAAAACACAGAGAGGCAAAAGCTGCCAAACACTTTTTAATGGTGTTGTTATATTTCCATTACATGGTTATTTCACGACACTAAAATGTTTGCATCTTTAATTTTTCTGTTTTTTAATTTAACAAAATCTATGATGATCCATTTTGATTATGAAGGTGTCCTATTTGGGAAGTAGCATTTGTAATCAAGTAGACTCAGGACCTATCTAGACGGAGATGGAGTCTTCAGTTTTGTGTTGGATTATTCTTCGCTGTTTCCTCTGTGTATTGTAGGAAGGAGGTTAGTGTTTATAGAATAGTATCAGTTGCAAGCCGGGGATTTAGACTGATTGCGCAAATTGTTCCAGAATACAAGCTGTCAGAAGGTGTTGCATTTTACCGACACTCACGATACAGCTTTTTGACAGTTCACTTCATAAACCACAACCAGAGTTTAAAAGCATACACCACAATACACAGTCCAATCATTGCAATCTGTGGCAAACTCTTGTGGGATCACACCAAGATTTGTTTTTTCGTTTGAACCAAAGCAGAAAGGTTCTCACGACTATAGTTTTCTATGTTTCACTCACATCTAGGAAAACCAGAACCTATAAACTAAACTTGCATGAACTCATCAATTGCCCACTTTGGTGGTCTGTCATCACACTTTGGTGGAAACTTAGGCAGCACGAAGAGATTGGTGTTGTTATGGGAGACAGGGTGGAAATCCAGTTCTTCTCCCTGTTGTTTTGGCAAAACACTTGCATCAACACTTTCTTTTTCTTTATTCCTCATGTGTTTCTAGTTAAACGCATGTAAAGTTTGGAATAAAACACTTCATCAATAGTTTCCCGTTATTTTGCGGTACATTCAGATGACATTCACAGCCATAATGATGTGCACTGCTGTTTGAACGGAAAAAGATGCAACAAAAAACAAAAGCAGCTTTCTTCATCTACTTCAAAGGGATTCAAACACGGTTGATGTTTCAACTTTGGCCTACCTGCGAATCTGGCCGTTTGACTTCTGGTCTGACCTCTTCAGCCGGGATATGTTTGGCCGGGGGGCTGCTGCTGGCTCCTCTGGACATGGGAACTGACACGAGGGGAGGAGGTGGTTCAGAGGGACCCTGCTGGTGCAGCAAGTCGATGCCGAGGCAGAGACCCACGTCGGGCGACAGGTCCCTCTCCCCCAGCTCGGACATTCCCCTGGAGAACTCCTCCATGCCCGTGTGCAGGTCTGTGAGGACGGTGAAGTCCACTTCGGCCTCCAGGCTGGACGTGGAGCTGACCGTGATGCTGGAGCATTTGCGCTCGATGCCCAGGTGGGTTTCCTTCAGGTACAGGATCTCGTGGTCCTGGTCGTCCTCCGATACGGAGCCCAGACGTCTTTCCCACGGTTCCCTCTACAGAGAAGAAGATTCAAATGCACTCATATAGTGTGATTTATGTCCCAATCAGAAATGAAGACGTGTAAATTAGACACTTATGTATAGTATCGCCAAAAAAAAAAAAAAAAGTGTCTCTTTGCTAATCAGAATTATAAACAGAGGCCGATTTAATGATAACTACCGAACCTCTAACAGCATCTCTTAAGTCAATTTAAAATACTCTGTTTTGAATTTTGTCTCACTAGATAAGATTTTACAGATTTTACTTTTTTTTACAAAAACATCGTGAGACTCTCTCCAGACTTTGCACAGAAAAACAAACACAACAAAGAGAACACCTTGAGGAAAACGTGCTAAATACTTAATTGTTTGTTTACTCATTTCCAAAGGTGTGGCTGAATAGCAAATAAAGGAAGCTGAGGAATGACTCACTGAAGCTTCGTTGAGAGGCTCCTCATGAATAGCAGGTGTGGGAGGTGTCTCCTGTTGAAAAAAAACAGAACAAACAACAAGCGAATGTTGATATAAAAACTAATAAAGCATGTGTCAGTTCATAGAAATGCAGCCAGAAATCATAAAAAACCTCTCTATCGCTAGTGCGTATCAGAAACGGAGAGAGCAGGAAGTTAAAAGAGGTTTTCTTTGTCACCGCTTTGGTGTGAATTTCTGTTTGCAGCAGAACACGGCTGATAAAAAGACCTAATAGTCATTTGGAGTGACCAGGTTTGCAATGTTCTTTACTCTCACAGCTCTTAAGCTAATAGCTTTGGCACCGGGTGCTGAGTTTTTATTTATAACAGAAGGACATCTAAACTCATTCATAAACTTCTGGGCTCATGCTAAACTTGCAAAACCACACATGTGAAAATTCCCAGAGACTCCAAAGCTAAACGCTAATGTCAGAAGCATGCACATAGGGTGTATTTCACAGGTTGACATCATCAAAAATGACTGCAAGTGCAATGGTAATGCCATGCACTGAAAAGGTTTGATTTTTTGACAAATCCTTTTCAGGGAAGAGGTATTCATATTTGTAAATGCAGCGTATGAATGCCTAAGCCCTGAAGAGGTTTGGCAGCTCTGCAGCCCGTGATTACATCTGATCGTCTTTTTTTTTTTCCGTTTGCTGCTATTGCTACAGAGGTGCCAAGGCAGAACATTTGGTTCAAATGCCCTTCTCAGCCATTTACAAAAAGGATTCAAATTATGCGAGAAAAACGAGGTTTCAAAGAAAAATGGTGGAAAGGTCTAGCACTCCTTGCAACAGCAGCCACCTTTTACTCTGTGTGGATGTTGGAAGGAGAAGACCAGGTGTTAACGTGACAAGTTAAGGTGGGATAAAAAGAGACGCCTGAAGCTTAAGCAATGGGAACTTTGCTTAAAGGCCCACAGCGTTCTGAAAATGGCCAAGCAGATGTCAAGCTTTGCGGAGAAGGGGAACAAGGGGAAAGCAAAAGGCTCCCCGGTGGCCATGGACGTGAATTGAGTCGGTCAATGATGCGATGCGGAGGAAACGTGAACTTTTGCTTTCTCATACACAGCCACATGAGTTCTGAAGAATATGTGTGCGTGATTGGTTTTTTTTGGAGGGGGGGGGTTTGTTTTTAGATGGTAAAAACAAGATTTTGCACGACATCGCCTGAAGCTCATGCAATGTTTTACTTTCCGATGATTGACAAACAAGTTAGGTGGGGGAGGGGGCAGATGGTTTACCGCTTGCTTCCTCTTGGCTGTTTCTTGGCTGGGCGTCCTGTAGTGGATGTGACTGTTGTCCATGTTGCTCTGTCTGTCTCGGGACCATTGTGTTTTCAGAGGGAGCGTGCGAGGGGGAGCTGTCGGGAATCTGGAGCTAAAGTCTGAGATGTTTTGAAAATGATCTTCGTGTAGAACGCCTCCTCTAATCCCCGGGCCTTGCCCTGCTGTGTCTCTGCAGTCTCTGAGCTCATGTTGTCCAAACAAGTCATTCCTAATCTGTTGCTGGAGTTGCTGCTGATAAAACACTGCAGAATCACTGTGGTGTCTGGTGGCTGCTGTATTTTCCTTGACAATATCTGTGGCGGATTGCTGTACAGTATTATCATCCAGTCTCCTTCCTAACTCGCAGGATCTGTCTTTTGATTTTGTCGGCTGTACATCCCCAGCCACACCAAAGACGCCTCTGTCAGACCGGCTTTGAGTTTGAGGGTTTACAGCATCTTTGTTCTCCTTATTCAAAGACTTCTTTGATCTCTGCGGCTTGAGAGGAACTATTTTGGTGACTTCTGAGTGTGAGTTCCCAGTTTTGTTGCAATCTTTCTCTCCCACGGGACTCGGGTCTTTTATTTTCCGAGAATCGCAATGTCTCACGCCACTCTCGATTGCCGCCCTGTTGCCCTTCGGGAAAGAATCCGCAGCCACTGGAGTTTCGAAGTTCTTGGGCCTCTCTCGATGCTCATACTGACAATGCTTCCCGGTTTTGTTCATTTCACTCATCTGTTTGTCAGGTGGGGAGCCATATCCATTTTCCTGAATGGCATTCCTCGCTAATACAGAATCATGCTGCCTATTAGTTGCTACTGCATCGTCCACGGGGTTTATATCCCTCAGTCCCGCTGCTATAAAGTCTGTTTCCTGTTTTGGAGATGTTCCAATTCTAGTTCTCGAGGGGTCCCAGGGTGTTTGGCAATTGTTCGTATTCGCTTCAGTCCAAGTTGTCACTGCAAATATGTCTCTACTCTTTTCCGCTTTAGGGTAAGTATCCAGTGTTCCTTCATAAGCATCCTGCTTGTCAATCAATTTGGCATCACTGGTTGCCTAAGTTAACATAGAGTAGACAGTTGCATTAGCCTAACTAGATAAACTGCTCTTCCATGTATGATATCATGGTTCCCCCACATCAATACGTAAATGACTAGTAAAGAAAAACAATGACTAACTGGGAGACCCATGACTGTGTAACCTTGGATATGTTTTTGTCTTTTAATTTTGACAGCGAAGGGGAAGAAGAGACAGGATGGCCTAGAACCAATACATTGTGTTTAGAAAATTATCAGCTCAGGAAAACAACGCTGTATGGTAAGTATAATAATTTGAAAATACAATCTCATTCTTACTGATTTTCGTTCAGGAGTTCCTCCAGGAGGAGTAGCCGAGGAGAGGCGTTTCTCTCTCTGCGCCATCTTGCTGTTCGGCTGCCTCAAAGCTCTCTTCAGCTCATTGATGCTGGCCTGGTGCTTCTGGAGAACGTCTTCTGGCTTATCCAAGAACTGCTACTCACACAGCGAAGGAGGAAACATCAGGAACACAAATTAACACGAGTTAAAGTCCTGCTTCTAAATCACTTCCTGGTTACAGACATTTCCGCAACTAAACTAGATGGAAATTGTGCCTGCTCGATTGTTTGTTTCCTTTCTAATTAAATGCAACACCACATGGATGGATGATAGAGGTCTTTACAATAAGCAGAAACGGATAAGAACCACATTACAGTCTACTCAGGTCAATCAGCATTTTACCTTGCAGTATTGTAGAAGGAAAGAGATGCAGTTAAAGCTTGAAAGTCTTCAAATTTCATCAACAAACTGCTTTACAAAAATACATATTTCTACATAAATACACATTTGCACCCAGCAGCTTCTGGAAGATGGAGCACAAAACCAAAACTATATTAAGGTCTGTCACTATTCACTGATGAGTGGATAGACACCAAAGAACCCTTTAAGTGGCAGATGTTTGCCTTTTGACTATGTTTTAGACTTAAAGTGATGCATCAGACGACCACATGCACTGCAGAAAAAGAACGTTTTTAACATAAGCTTCATAGCTGCTGACTGTGTTCTAGCAGTAAGAGGCAGTAATGACAAATAACAAAACACAGAACACCTGGTGAGGGTCACACACAGCACATGCCAAAATAAGAGGACAAGCAGTACCTCCTGTTTGGGCCGAAGGGTGACCAGATCCTTGTCCAACAGATGATGTGGGGCAAAGTGAGATGAAGTGAAGGGGGGTTTTGAGCAAAGCAGGAAGTTGAGAATTTGAGGGGAAGGAGAACAGATGCGTGCAGAGACAAAGAGGTAAAATGCTGCAGGTGAGTCAAAAAGGCAGGCGGCCAGACAGACAAACAGAAACAACCGACATCATCAGGGGCTTTGGACAGAGACTGTTAAAGCCTTTTAATGTTCTGCCAAGAAGCCAGGGACAATCCATTCCAGTGTCAGCCAACTGATAATTAATGCAGTCATTTATTGACTGAACCTAAGTGTTTGGAGGGGGGATTATTCCCATACTTCTTCATCCAAACGTTTGATGAGAACGCATTACAAAACCACAGATGAAGAGTCCATTAAGTGACTAGTGCGATGCCAATATTTCCTGCGGTACTCAAAAACATGACCACACATACCTGCACAAGAATCACACAGCACAAATCAAATCAGACCGTATGTCTAGAAAGCCGGTTTGCATTAAAAAACAATTTCAAATTATGGAAATGCGTCGATATTTGAGGATTTTAGCTGAACTAGCAGGAGATTTGTTAACTGGGGAACCACTGATTGCCTGAGTCATCAGCAGTGCTTAAGAGCCATCTGTTTCTTCTGCTAACAACAATCAATCCCTCTAATATCACACAGGGACACTGTTAAAAATGCATGCTGTTGAATACGCGTTGTCAATTGAGAAGAAGAAAAAGCTATTTCCACTGGAGTTTAAGTCACTTTGGATACGATCGAGATGCTTATTCACATCTAATCTGAATTTCCACTGAAACAATTTCCCAGCGGCCAGAAAGAAAAGCAGCCTGAATAAATGTATATTAAACAATTTCTCGTCTATTTATCTGAAGATCAGTTTACGCAATTTCCGTGGATTACACTTAGTGGAATCCTGGAAATCATGACATGAAGAGAAATAACATTTCCTTCACAGACAAACAATCAAAAAAAATGACAGGTCGTGCTTAACAAACACAGAGTGCATGACCTACAGCAACCCAAACCACACAGACAGACACAAAGGTCCAAGGCCAAAATACCTCTGGCTTAGAGTCTACAGGCGAGCCTGCCTCCTCACCCTGCAGGAGAGGACAAAGTAGAGGACAGAAATGTCAGAGAACCAGAGAAGAGGTTAGCAAAGAGTGATAACATTTCAGCAGCAAGAATAGCAGACTGTTAGAGGCAGGATGCCGGGTTAGAAAAATATCTGCAGAAAAGAGGTTTAGTTTGATTTTGGAAGGTGATTTAGGAACTGGTGAGTAGAAAGGGCTCATACTGAGAAGCCTTATATGTCCGGAGAGACGCAGAAAATAGGGGGAAATTAGACCAAGGAGAGGAAAAATAGAGACGAAGATTGCAGTCTTAAATAAAAAGCAATGTGAGAACCAAAGATGAGGAGTGTAAGTTCATGGGGAATTTTTCTGAGTTAAAGTGCAGGAAGTGTTTTTTTCAAAGAACTACTCTCTGCAGTGTCCTCAAAACTAGGATATAGTTTGATTCCATTTACGCTGTCAATTGTTAGGTTGAGTAAAGGCTCTGAACTTCAGTGATGCCATGTAAAAAGTCAGGTTTTTGTGCATTTTCAAGTGTGTGTATCCTCTCATGTTGTACCTTGAGCTCCAAGGTCTTGGTAGGCGTTGACATGTTGGCGCCCATTATCTTTTGATCTTCATGCTCTAGTTCCTGATCTGTGTACTGATCCTGGTCCTGGTCCTGGTCCTGGTAGTGATAGTGATCGTGGTCCAGGTCGAGGCTGCCCTCTTGGTCCAGGTCTTCTCTGGACATAAACTGTGTGCGTTCACTGGAGCTTCGCTGGGACAGCTGGTCCATGCTGTCACCAAGAGCTGAGGCTGGTAAAAATGTAAGTTTGAAATCGTTTAAATGGCATAATCTCCTGTACAGTGTTTATCAGACCACCTGTCTTCATTTAGTTGTGCTTGCAAACAAAAAATCTCAACATTTCAATAATAAGTTTTCATTTACACATTGCCATCTATTGATTGGTCCATTTTCTAATCCTGAGGAGCTAAGGTCAAGTTTTTGCCTGGGTTCTTACCTCCATCAATGCTTCGTGGTAGCATGTACCGCTTGCTAACGGACCGATCAAACAGTGGGGCAGGCCTGTCAATCAAAGCACTGGCCTGCCTGGTCTGGGCTTGGGTCCGACCACTATAGCGGAACTTGGAGCCGATCACCAGGAACCCCTTAGGAGGTGGCTCTGGAGAAACCAACCTGCAGGAAGATTCAATTTATGTAAATCTACCACAGATATTTTGAATGGCTTTACTTTTACAGATCCTCCATCTCTTATCATCTTTATGATCTCTTTTCCAAGGAAATTTACCGGAAAGAACGATGTTCTCTGGTGCCATTTCCAGGGAAAACTCAGTCAGTTGTGTTGAGTTTATAAGCAAGTGCTGATTTCAAACAAAAAGAAGCAGCTCGATCTTGTAGAAAATACTTTTATTTTCTTTGTAGAAGAGCTAGATGTGACACCACTTTTATGACTGCACAGTAAACATGAAGCTACCACAAGCAGCCAGTCACACAAAGACTGAAAATATCTAGCCTGGCTCTGTCCAAACCTAATAAAATCCCCAAACACCAGCTCTAGACTCCTTAAGTTTTGCCAGTAGAGCCTCCAGAAAGTTTTCTTTGCCAAACCAAGAAGTAGTCTGGCTACGCAAGACCACAACATGCTGCATAGTCAGCATTTAGAATGTATCATAGCACAGAAACAGCGTTGGTGAAAGTCAGCAATGATTTAGTAGCCTAGACAGCGGACTCATCTCTATACTTGTTCTGCTGGATCTCAGTGCTGCATTTGACACAGTTGATGACAACATTTAGTCTCTACAGAGACTTTACTTTACTTAGGTAAAAGAAACCGCAATAGAGTGGTTTAATTTATATTTATCAGTGGGATTCCAGTTTTTGTCAGGCACATGTCAATTATGATTCTTCCACCCATGCCAGAATTAGTTGTGGAGTTCCACATGGTTCTGTGCCAGGACCAATACTATTCAAATTGTTTATGCTTCCCTTAGGCAATAAAAAAACCCTGCATATATGTCGACTGCTACGCAGATGACACTCATCTATACATAACTATGAAGCCAGATGAAACTAATCAGTTATTGTTTCATCTTAAGGACATAAAGGCTTGGTGACCTGTAATTTTCATCTACTAAAATTAAGGGGCTCCAAAGGAAACTTTGGTTTGTTGGGTTTCTCTGTATAATTTTGGAATGTGTTCACATTACTATGTGAAGTGCTTTGAGAAGACATGTATTGTGAGCTGGTGCTATATAAATAAAATTAAACTGAATTGAGTCTGTCATTTTTACACTTTGTTTGTTAGCTGTTTGAGTGGTTTCCTTATTTTTCTCAAAAGCTAAGCTAACCATGTCCTGTCTGCAGCTTCACATAGGTGGAACCATCATTTTATATGAGTTGACTAAGAAGATTATACATCTGGTCATCGTCCCCACTTTACATAGTAAAGCTAGTATCAAATGACCTATTGACCCATGGTCAACCTATGAATTTACAGCTACAAACATTTGTATGTGTATTTGCTGCAGGGTTTGCATTCACTTCGTTTTACTCATAAAATCTGCAAAACTATCAGTTCCTTTCAAATAAATTGTACAGAACTATGGAATCTTCAAGAAAAGTGTTACTGTGAAACATTTAGGGACCAACACACAAGCACAAGTTCAGCAGTTCATGCAGGGTCTAATGACTGCAGTGCACAGATAGTGGCTCAGTCTGTGTACCTGTGAGTGCCAAGTCCTACCTGAAGAAGGTGTGGTGCTCAATGCAGACCTTCCACAATCGCTTCGAGGCCCTGTGGTTGGGCAGCTTGAAGCCTATGGTGCTCTCAAACTGTTCATACTGAGTGGTGAGGAAAAGGAGTGGAGGTGGTGGAGGACAAGGAATCGGAGGGGGTGAAGAAGAAAAAGAGAGTGAAGGAAGCAAGTGCGGAGGAAGATGGAGGAATGGTGGCAGGGTGAATTGTGTTTACTCCGCAGCAATGGAAAAATCAATGTTTTTCTGTTTACTGGCAGAAATATATTCTCGCGTCTCCCGCTGCCATGTCAGGTGGATTTTCCATCTCTAACCGACCTATAAATTAGTTGTTCATGCGCTCACTCCATCAGATGTTCAGCAGAGTGAACAAAAGAAAATGCTTTCAAATCAATAGGTTATTAGCAATATAACAGGTCTTTAAACATTAGGAGTAGTCCATTCGCAAAAGGAACCAAACTTTCTGTTCCACACAAAAAATTCTTTGGGGACGGTTTAGAATAAAAAGGGCTTTAAAACACAATGATGAACCTCCAGGCAAATTTGAAGTGACAGCTGACTTAAGAGGATAGATGTGCAGAACAAAGTATATGCGCAGAAAGGCCTTGGTTTTCACTATGAAGATGTCAATGTCAGTTTAACAGTGGATAGAAAACATGCTGCAGATACCCTAAAGGCCAAAGAATGAAGTAAAATCATAATAATTTCAGCGAGTTGAAAACCAGCGTGAGCATAATGTGGCTCTAACGCTTGCAAGCAAAGTCCTTGATGAAAATGCAAATCCACACGAGTGGCTAATCAGACTTTAAAGACGCCACAGAGAAAGAGAGAAGGAGGACAAGAATAAAAAACATGACCTATCAGCCTAATCTTTAAGAACGGTATCTCTGAGGGCTATAAATAATGTCTGAAATGTCTTGGCAGTTGTCACATGGTTTGCAGCAGATAAATCTCAGAAGTAACACTTTTATCAAACCATGAAATGACTATTTATGCTGCTTGGGACGAGTCAAGAGAGGCGATGATGTAATTTTAACAACTGTGAAACCATGAAATAGAAATGTAAAGTTGGCTCTTTACCAAATGATCCTTTATTCCACTTGACTCAGCTTTGCCAGAGTGACTATGTGCTGCGCCGGTGTGGTTGTGCATGCAGTAATAGCCCTACTGAGCCCACCTAAAATGCTACAGGTAAGATAATGATAGTTTTATTTACCTCTCCAGGGCGGATCTTGATGTAGAAGTTGCTTCTTTTATAGGAAATCTTGAGGATTTTTGGCCAGGCGAACCGATTGATCCTGAGACGGTCTCGGTAGATGAGCAGACCGTTGGCACTTACACCAAGCATTATGTCGATTCCCTCTGAATCCTAGTTAACACAGGCACAGAGTATGAAAGAACCTCAAAAAATACATTTTCAGATGAAAAATCTGACAGAATCGAAGCATTATCTGTGTACCTTAGCGTGATGCAGGTCCACGCCATACATCGAGAGCTTCTTGGCATTTTCTAAAAAGTTTACCTCTGCTTCTGCCGGACTCATCCCCCTGCAGTGCAAATGCCACAAAGGATTCTTCATTTCCCATCATTTCTTTGTACTCAATCCACAGATCAAAAGCAACAGCATCCCTGTGGCATTCAATTGTGAAGTCAAATTTTCGCTGACCTATAATTACGGTGCAGCTCCATCACTCTCTCCTCCAGCTCACGTGTCTGGTTGGGGGCAAAGTGGAAATCACTGACGTAGTCTGGACCGTGTTCTTCAGGCTCATAGTCTCCCAGTTCAGCCTGGACAGTGTAGGAGCCCAGCAGGGCGTGGGTGACAAACGAGCACGGGAGGCGACCGGACAGGATGTCGTCCCTCAGCTGCAGGCACAAGTAGTACCTAAAAAAAACGTAGGAGGCTCTTAACACTTGCCTTCGAGAGTGAAGTTTGAGAAAACCACTGATAGAAGCAAGTGTTGGAATCGGATTCTCAGTCCTTTGATAGTGGAGTCAAGATTTGAACAATGCTAACAGCTTGTGGCTCTAAGGATGACACGTTAATCAGCAATTACCAGCATGTTGCCAGACTAAACAAGGATGGCAAACAAGGTAAACATTGAACCTGCAAAACATCAGCACATTAGAATTACCATCGTGAGCATGTTAACACACTGATGTTCACGTCTAGTCCTGCAGTGTAAGTACAGCCTCAGAAATCTCTGAGCTCATCTATATAAAGTACACCTTTGTTTGTCCTACAGTATCAAATAGGCGGTATCAAAAAGATAGTTGACTCATACTGACTCAAATTACAAATGCTATTTATGCATGTTTTTAGATATTAGTCTCTCAGAATCCTATTGCAAGTCCAGCAAAGCTGTGGTGTCATTTCTAATGTGGCTCTTAAAAAGTATTGACATGCATTTACAATAATCTGCAAACCTCACCATCAACAGAACACTCAATGAAAAAAAACAGTCTTCTAGAAACAAACTCTGAACATACATCATTCTCTGTAATTAAGATTAAACATCCAAGAGAAGTAACAATGATCAAAACATGTTTTTGCGTGAAGAGGGGCTTTTTTTGTGGGTGTTTTTTAGATTCACTTTTACAATTGAGTCAACAGCAACAAAAACATTTTTTATTTGGAACAAAACGTTGAAGCGGTTTTAACTTCTTGCTGTGCATTTCAATCAACTGAAGCCGAAGACACCAGTCAAGTAGGCATAACAACCACTTTGCATATTAGCCTACCGCTGTGCGCTGATCATAGTGACACTGGCGTATTTAATTGTTTCAAAAGCAAATTCTGCTGATAGATGAGCTCAAAAGAGACTACAAAACACCATGATGGTTTATATTGTAACAGGTCAAAACAAGTACTTACACAAATTCAGAAAGTAGTTAAACAGAAATATAATCTAAGCCTTGTTCAGTTCGGTTAAACATTCTCATGGCACATTTCCTCAGCAGCGACAATTTTCCTGAAACAGTAATCGTTTTGTAAGAGATGTGACCGAGCAATTTTCCATCTTTTATGTACTCCTAGAATTCATTTTTTAGAGCATTATCACTAAGTGCTGGTATGACTGTGCCTGTTTTGTGATTGCTGATTTCCAATTTGTTGCAGTGATTTAGCTTATCTACAATCAGTTGCAGATCAGAGCCGCCATCAGCAGCCGCCTAGTCAAGTTAAGTAGGCGCCAATCAGCCACAACATTAAAACCCCGGACTGGTCAAGTGTATGATACTGATCGTCGTGTTCCAATGCAATACTAGAAAACCTTTGAGTCCTAATATTCATGTGGATGTAGTCTCACTTTGCCAGCCCATTCTGCAGAATATAACGGTCTGGCTACCCCACGTTATCATTTTGTTACAGGACAAATAAAAACCTTCTGACTTGTTTGTGTATCATTGAACCAATCACAAATCACTGTGGGCGGTGCTAAGCAAAGGATGCTGCCTTATTGTGCCCTCAAATTAATGTCCGGACTGTAGGCCGCTACTTTTTTCACACGCTTTGAACTCTGCCACTTAAACAATGATGCGGCTAATTTATAGATTTTTACGAGATTTACGAATTCGCCTCAAGAAAAAAGTGACATAAGGAGCGACAGCGAAAGAGAGACTGAGGAAGTGTGTGACCAAGTAACTCTGAGGCTGTTCAATTCTGACACTGAAGAAGACGACTTTATTGGTTTTAGTGAGCAGGAGGAAGATGAAGATAGCGATCGATGACTTTTCCTAGTAGGCTACTGCATTTTTAATTTATTTAACCAGCCGTGTTACAGGTACTGTTCGGAAAAAAACATTTACGGTACGTATTTGTTCGTGTTAATGGTATGTATTTATTTAAAAGTTTAAAGAAAAATCTTCCTGTGTAAATATCTCATGTTACAACGTGGACACTTGTGGCTTATGGACAAGTGCGGCTTATATATGTACAGTTTTAAAGTTAGTGGGTGCGGCTTATATTCAGGTGCTCAATAGTCCAAAAATTATGGGAGTGAGGGAACACAAATTAGTTACAAAGAAAAAGGTAATACGCACATTGCAGAAGGTAGAGAATGGTGTCGTAAATGAGCGGTGGCTTATACCTGCATCCTACATGCAGACATTCAGACTCATGTGGATGGTACCTTGACATGTACCATCTGAGCATTGATCCAGGTTAAGCAGACCAACATGTGGCAACAGCAATCCCTGGCCACAGCAGCCTCCCCCAGCAGAGTAATGCACAATATTACACCACAAAAACTGCTCAAGAACAGCTCGAGGAACACAACAAAGAGCCCAAGGTGCTGACCCAACCTCTTAACAAGAACCTGCACTGCTTAAAGTAAGATAGATTTACTTGCATCTAAAGTTTGTATATGCTTCTATTCATATGACTGGCAATTACTTTGGTAATATGTGACGTTTTTCTGTTATGACAGTTTCAAAGACTTCTAAAGCCATTTCCTTGTCTTTATTGGATTTAACTTGCTCAGTAGGATACTCTCTCTAAGCTGCTCCGTCCTTTCTAAAACTCCTGCCAAAACAAAGGCATTTTCATGACAAGTCTACCTAAAAGCTCCGGACAACCAAAACAAATGATTTTTTTTATGTCAAACCTTGACTTAAAAAAAAACTGCTTTCAGACCTACCTGGTGATGTCTTCAATGAGCACAGATGGATCTGGAGGGTAGAACTTGACAGAAAAGCCCAAATTCCAGGAGCCAACTGTGGACAAAGCACCAGCAAGGTTGTTTTGTGAAGGATGTCTGGTCATTAAAATACTGCATGTGCACGGATTTGCTAGACTGTGTGTGTGCGGTATGTGTGTGTGTGTGTCTGTGTGTGTGTCTGTGTGTGTGTCTGTGTGTCTGTGTGTGTACTGCACTTACCACGAATTTGCTTCTTAATCTCTTTGGAGGGATCCAACCAGTTCTGATAAGGAAAGAAAGAGACAATCCCCTTTGAGAAATTCAACCTCAGCAAAATCATCCATATTCACATTTTTTTTTCGGAGCCTTTTTAAGTAGCCCACTGTACCTCTCCGGCTCCTCTTCCCTTTTTAAATCTACTCCCTAGTTGAAAGCCTAATATATTCATGCTACCAGGAACTTGATGAAGTCTTCTATAAACACTGAAAGCATCAATATTGGGGGTATAAATGCCAGCTGAATGGAGCTCTGTCTGCTTAATGTCACTGGAGCGATGATGGTGCACTGTAGACCTTATGCACCCGTTTTTAAAAGGCCATACCGTCTGGTCACATTTTAAAATGTTAAAGACCATGTATGCCACTCTCAGAGAATAAGTGGTTAAGGAAAGTTAAAAGGGCAAACAGGGTCTCGCTGTTTTATAACACCTGAGGAAACAATCCGGTTAAATGGGCTGCTTGAGATATAATCTGAAAACTTTGACAGAGTCCTGCTGAAATCTATTAAAAGCAGCTACAAACAAACAAAAAAAAATCAATGTCAACATATATTTGGCTTTGAATGATGCAAAGCTATTCACCAAAGCACCCAAATTAAGCCTATATATTATTAATGGTCACTGTGGTAACAAGATCAGTGTAATGACATGAAATCTTAATGACCTTTGGTTTAAAGCTCCATATGTCAGCTTGGAAGGATAGCGAAACCTTGGGCAGATCAGAAACGCACTTTATATCTAATAATACTTACACTCAGTGTTGTGAACATATGTGTGTGACAAATATTATGTGTAAAGTCTGTCAGAGGACACATTTGGAGATAAGTCACACCAGCTGATTCAGGCCAGTTTCTATGTTTAGACCATATTGGTGTCCTATGTTTGGTTTAATTACAACTGCACTTGGCAACAGCTCCGCGGTTTCAGTTGCACATCTTAGACTGTATAAAAGTGCATAAATAAATGTCCCCAAATAAGCTGTTTGCATGTGTGTGTCTATGCTTTTGTGTGTCTGACCTTGGCATTATCCGTGTCCTGGAAAGTCAGGCCAAAGTAGTCCCTCTCCAGCAGGTTCAGATGGCCACACACCATGTCCAGCAGGGTCTGGCCCTTGGCAAATTTCTGTCATGCACACATGCATACAGGAAGAAAAAAAAACATATAGGAACACTCAGCAAGTGGGAAGACAGAAAGGTACAGGTTTAGTATGAAAATCAAATGCTGCGACGGACAAAAAGGTCAGGATTGAGCCCAATAATGCAGCTTAATAAACATGAAGACTTCTGACCAGTACTTCTTCTAAATTTGATTCCTACATCAAACCTTTGTTGCATGTCCTACCCTTCTCTCCCCTTCTTATATTTCCTTTCAGTATCCACACCATCATACAGCATGAGGTGGCACAAATGCACAAAGCATGAAATAGATTTGTAAAACAGTAATGGGATGTCAATGATGCTGAAGACATACAGTGTTTATTGACACGCTGAATGATGAAGATCTGCATTCTTGTTTCATAACACAAAGGGATCAAAAAGAAAAAATGTCAGTCACATAAAAACCAACAACAACTAAGCTGCGAGAGATGCTCCCAGTCTGTCCTCCTCCCTGCTGAGTAGGAGGAGGAGCCATGCGTCTTTATGCCCGCATAAGGGGAGGAATAAGCTTTTCGCATCAGTGGCGTTTCAGCAGACCACACCTATTTTCTATCCAACCCTCGAGGGCTGAAATCCAGGCCTCTGTGGGACGGCCTTGGCAAAATGCTATTTCCACACACACACACGCACAGACACACACCAGATTCATCTCCTAGGGAAACCTGGCTCCTATGGCGACAAGGCAACCAAGCAGCTGTTACCATGGAAACAGAAGTAATAGGTCCCTTCTGCATGTGTGCGTGCCCTCTCACTTTCTCTATCTCTGGTTACTACAAGGCCACGGCAAATCTTTGTTCAGCTCTTGTGAGAGGGGCTGGCAGTACAGTCGGCACAACTTTTAAAAATTTAAGACGGGTGATTAATTAAGCATCACAAAGTAATCTGTCTCTCTCTCAGTCAAATAAATAATCATTTAGACCCCGCTGCACTGAGGCTGTCAAGGATGAAGCAGGGAGAGAATAATGCTGATTAACAGGCAGAGGCTGCAGTCGGAGGTTTTTTTTGTTTTTTGTTGGGGAGGGGGCGGAGCGGCACGTATATTCGATTTTTTTTTTCAACAAAATGAAATTGCAACACACATCTCTGGTGGTTCCCCAAGCATGGCGACCGATTCGGGAGCTGTTGATGAGATTTTGTTGTCACCCCAATTGGATTCAATCACATTTCTGTAACTAGTTCTGTGGCCTGATTGTGTTAGCAGCCATTTGGTGTAATCCTAGAAATCCATTTCGCCCATCGTCTCACGCATACAAACAAGACAGTGTTGGGTGAACGGGTTAATGGCCGGCTGAGGAGAAAGTAAATCTGTCATTTTAACTAATGCAGTGGGAGGGAAAGTACTGAGGAATCAAATGACTGGATGAAAATTGGAAAATGTGGTAAGAGTAGGTGTGGGTTTTATGTTGCTGTCCAACAGCGCTCAGTCTCTACAGACTTCTTGTAGCTGGAATAAAAAAAAAACTTCAACAACCCTGGAATAACTTCTCCAGTGAAAGATTAAAAAATTACAGCATTCGATTTAGTCGCACAAACTAAAATTCAAAGTTGTTATACCAAATGACACACTGTATAAGCGTGATGTATTGTCGAGCAGAACTTGTGCCACCAGAGGTCAGTCATGATAAAATCCGCCTCCGCCATCTTTGTTTATCGGTAGATTCCCTGTTGCCATAAATACGCTATTAGCCTGATTAAAGATTACGGTGGTGAACACAGTTTTGAGTTTCCAATGACTCCTGTAACTCTAAATTTTCTATGATGGAATCAGTGAAACCCATGTGTCTTTGTCACACACACACCACAAAACAAACATGCATTTTGATTCGTTTATATTATATAAATAAATTATAGGTCTTCTGGAAATATGACTAAATCTGCTGGGTCAAAAATATACATACAGCAACTCGAATTATCAGCTGTGTTAATCAAACTTTCCAAATAGCATAGCCTCTTCATTTCTCCTGAGTGACTGTGATTAACTAGAGCTGGTGACTCCTCGGAGGCAATTTAATTAGGGCCCATTTAATATATTTTTAATGGAAATTAGGATTGTTACGTGGGAGTAGCCATATACTTGAGACAGTTAACCAGTGTAAGACAGCTGCCAAGTTGGAAGGCCAATAGTTCCACAAGCTTTTTTCTGTATTCAATATCCTGACCAATGGTACGTAACACAGAAACACCAAACTTTCCCAAATAATATAACAACCACACAGGTTTCATTTTGTCAACTGTGTGTTTGTGTTTTGTCCAAGATTTCGACACTGTGGTAAGTCCTAAATACAGCAGCACCCATGACCCTCTGGCACTGCTGCTGTGGAAAACAAGGTGGTCACTTGGAACAGTATGGAATTAAAACCGGCATCACAACAACATCCATATTCATCACAAGGCATTCCTCCCCACCCAAAACCACTGGAAAAGAAGTGGCTAAAAGTAAATTACTCTTTTCATTATCAGAATTTAATAAATTTGGTACAAAAACATTTGGAAAGTCTGAAAGAGTCAAAGGGAAGTATGTTAGCTCAGCTGACAGGAATCTCGGTCGTATATGCTGTCTAAGTACCCGGCTAATAAGCAAAGGAAGATTGGAGAATGTTGTTTTTGTGTGTGTATGTGCCAATGAGCAGCTTTCATTTTAATGGCTCAGGCGCCATTTTGTACTCCAGTATCTGATTCTCCTTAATACATCCATATTGGAAACACATCATTGCTGCACATGTTAGCTAAAAGATGTGCAATAGCTATTGGACACAGGCTTCAAAGAGTAACTATTTTCAAGAGTAACTATTATCTTTTGCCCACAATTAGTGGCGCACATGACAGAATTTGAAGTTCAGTAAATGTATGTTTGCCAAAATGCATTCAGTATCCCAGGCAGAAATTTTGCAGTTACTCATTCATCAATGAAATTTGTACTTCTGAGATCAGCGGTGCCAAAAATAACTGACAGGAGCAGCCAATAGAAGGCTTATGCCCACATCCTACATCCGGTGAGTCAGACTATGTTTGCAGTGAGTCCTTCGGAGTCAGTCAGCCCTAAAATTGTCTTGTTTAACCTGCATGAGGTTTGAGGGTTCATGTAGTATGTTTTGCTGGCAAAAAGCCAAGGATGTGAGGGATAAAAAAAAAAAAAAAAATGAAAATGCTAACTGTCAGAGACTGGCCGTGCGAGAGTGCAACATCATAACATATCTGAGGCAAAAAGCATTTAATCCCAGCAAGACTTCCAAGTCCAAGCACGTGGCGCTAGGCGATTACAACATCACACATGTGTGACACTGACCTTTCTCTTCTGTCCTCCCAGGTATGAGCAAAAAACTGTTCACTATGGGATTCAGGAACTCACACATTTGCTCTCACTGCACTATGCACACTGATAATCACCTCCATGCCTTCTGGTCGTGCCCTTCTATACAGCACTTCAGGGAAACGCTCATTTACAAACTGTTTCTGCAGAGCTGCTGGATTCTAAGTATACCAGGATGCTTCACACAGGTCAACATACGTCATCACTTTAACTACCAAGACAACTACACTGCTCTACAGAAAAACAAAAATGCATAACAAGTAGAAAAAAATGCAACAAGCAAAAAACAAATCTGAGCAATTTAAGCAAATTCAGCCTCCAGTCGTGAACATTCTGATCCTATAACTGCATGTCTTCACCATCTCCCACATTGTACTGACCTCCAACCAAACCACCAACATTCTGCACATAGCGTTTACTTATGCACACACACACACACATATAATTCCTGCTTACCTACACCCTGGATTGAAACTCCCTGGGACACAACCTTTACCATCACACTTATACTGTTGGTATTATTATGTATGAATCCCTATATTTAACATCTAAACATGTTTTTCTTGTTTTGTTTTTTTTTAATTGCTTGCTTATTATGTTAATTGGCTTCTCAACATTGACGTTTTCACACTAATGTGCTTTCATTTTAAAACCAATTCAGTTTTATTTATATAGCGGCAGTTCACAACATATGTCATCATGAGGCACTTTGCATCAAAAGTTGAAGACCATCCAAAAAAAAAAATAATTTAAAACCCCCCCTTACTAGGAGGGGGAAAAAACGCTGGCAGAATCAGGCGAAGGGAGGACAGCCATCTGCCTCGACCAGGTGGGGTGAGGGTAAAGGTTAGCAGATACAGAACAGACAAACAATGCATATGGGAGCAATAAATCCATAAAGAACTTCCATGCAGGCAAGCCTTTTAGAACCGTTCCAGAAAAAAAAACCTATCACATGAGCCTCCACTCACGCTGGCCATGCATGTGCCAGTGTAAACGTGAAGGAGAGGATTGGTTGTAGAGTTAGAGAAGACAGAAAGTAAGAACAAAGATCTGCAAGTTCAGACAACAAGCTAAGGAATATCTGTAATTCAATATCTACGCTGAGTTACACACTCGTAGTCAAGGGTTACATTGGATCAGCTGCGTTGTTTGACCGGCCTACCCAAACCTGAACCACAAATCACACCGGAGCATCCCTCTGGAGGATATCTAGACAAATCAGGGAAAGGATACATAGTGACAGATAAGACCCTATTAAAATGCAAATGTGAGCGTCTGGGTTATTGTTTCCAAAAGTCTCTGATTCTTCCCGCGCAAACTACAGCATAGACCCAGATTTTCCAAACTAAATTGAGGTCAGCAGCATTTCTAAAAGTCTTCATTTCGGAGTTCCTCGATGCAGAGTAGTATTGAGGCGAGGCATAGACGCAGTGAAAACGTATCAGCGTGAACATAGCCTCCGTTTTCTTTACCATAAGCAAAAAAGTTAACAAATAACTATCACACAGCACACACACATATATACATTCTATGAAGCTATTTCTTTCTTTTTGTTATGTAACACTTGCATTAAAAGGCTAATTTAGGGTTGTTCATTTCTTTGTTGTCAAGTCATTCGTTCATATTTTCATTTCTTTTTCTTCATCTTCCCC